CTATTCTTTTCAAAGCAAACTCTTATTGGTGAGCAAGACCATTTACTTCCACAAGATGGCGCTATAACTTCTGCCAAGCTGGAAACACGGGACTCCAGCAGGAGCCAGAAATCCAGGGTTACTTCTCCTTGGGGGACCAAATCCGTGTGTGCTTTGACAAACCCATCACAGAAGCACATTGGGCAAAAATGTTCTGGTGGGGGTTGATTTGGGCCAAAAGGGTGCAGGTTGTTCCAGGTAATAATGCCTTCCGCCGCCTCCACACATACTTGAGTTGATGTCTCAAGGCTTCCTGCTTACCCTCCAGCTCACTCTCTTTCCAAAATGCTGCTCTTATCACTGTCAGACATTTGTGTGTCAGGAGTGGAACCTGGACGCTAAGGAGTGGCACAGAGTGCCAACTGTCATGGACAGGTGTGTCTCACGCCTGTCCACACTTTCCACGCGGGGCAGCTCTGGATTCAATTCTTCAATGAAGCCATTCTTACTACCCTGTTCCATATCAATCATACTTTCCTTTGGATTTCTCTGCCATTAATATTTTTACCTCTCTTCAGGCTGCCGAGAGACTGCTTTAGAAAAGGATTTACCATTTCCACCTACCTATTCCAAGTTGTTTTGGGACAGAGTCTGTGTCATCATTGCCCTTGTACAACCTACAAGGAACATTCCGCCTTGAATGTATGCATATTCATGATCTCATGAATGCAAGCAATTTAAAGTAAGTCCTCAGCAACCTTAGTTCGGAGCCGAGCAATTGGGAGGATGCTAACCCCAGCTGGCCAATACCGAGGAGCCAGGAAGAGTATGGCCTTTTAAGTCACATCCTCTCTGGAGCTCTTTGATCATCACTAAAAGGAGAGGATTGAGCGGTCCTCCTAACTCTGCTTTTCTTTTTAATGTTTTGCTTCTATGACTTTAATGTCTTCAGTATCCCTGTCTTGAGGGAGTCGCGGAGGCAAAACATCTGTATCACACGGGAAACAGGTGTTTCTATTGATGTGAATGGCATCTCCCTCTCGGTTCGTCTTTGTTCTTGTCTCCCTCTTTGTGTCTTTCATTCTTTGGCGACTGAAACTGTGACACAGCCATCAAAGCTGGTCACCCCTCTATGTTTTGCCACTAGGACCTCTCTACTCCTACAGGGGATGAGGGAGGTAAGTGGACGCCCAGGGGCACAGTGAGAGCAGGGTACTCTGCCCAGCCTTGGAGCAGGACAGGAAACCCCATGTGCTGCTGTGGTCGTGTTGCCCTGGGAGAAGAATGGGAAATATGGATGAGACTGTACCTAAGGACAATCATTGTGACTGTGAGCTGGGACAGGACACTTCCAGAAACACACAGCAAGGACCTGGAATCAGGGATAAAGCCAATAACTTTCTGTTGAAGGGAAAGAGAGTGTTTGACCAACTAGGGAAGAACCAACATCATTTCTGTGTTCCAAATAATCAGACCTGGGGAGACTGGTTAGCCAGCCTCATGAAGGGCTTGTACGCCATGCAGGCCACCAGTTTGGACTTTATGCTTCCAGAGACGTGGCCCCTCTAAAGAATTTCTTTCCCGTTTTGTCAAAGCGTGATGACAAAAATTGCATATGTTTACGGTGTCCAGCTTGATGGTTTGATACACATGTATGTTGTGAAATGATCACCATCAAGCTAATTAGCATATCCCTCACCTCACATCGATACTGGTTTTTTCTCTTTCTCCTCTGCCGTGTCTGCACCCACCTCGTGCTAACCCACACCGCTTGGTCTTCCCCGAACAGAATGTGCTCAGGCTTCTTCTTGTATGGCCACCGCCGCTGTCCACCAAGGAACAGTGAAGACGAGTCAACTGAAGCTGCCCCAGGTCCTTGGAGCCTTGTCTGAGTCCCACGCAGTGCTGTCCCCTTCCGGCCAGCATCGCATTTCGTGTGGGTCTCAGCGTGAACCTCCCCACGCTGCGCTTCTCGCGTCTGTCGTCTGTCCTTGGGGCAGAGGCTTGGTCTTTGTCCATCCGGTTTCTAGAAGTGCCTGTTGAGTGAAAGAATAAAAGACCATGAAAAAAGCGAGTAGTATTTATCCCTTGAACAGCATTCCCTTTAGGCTACTGATAAGGTGCAAAGGATGAGAAAAGAATAAAAAAAAAAATGTCCATCAGAATGGAACTGCGTAGCTAAGAACCAAAGCAGCCAAGGCAGGGGGGACTGAAAGGGAAAAGTTGGAGAGACCACGGTCGGCCAAGGTGAGAGAAGACCTGAATTCGAAATCGGTTCCCAAGGGTCAAAGTGAGGTCGTGGGATCAGGCAAAAAGCAGAGTCAGCAAGGCCAGAGCCAGAACTCGTGCTGGACCCGCTGTGAGTCAGAGTTAACCAAGTGAGAGACCAGTAACAGGGGTGGTGTCACCAGGACAGCAGCTCAGGACAGCGGCAGCCCCAGAGAGGACTCAGTTTCTGCTTGAAAAAAAGGTCACTGCAATTCCTTTGTCAAAGTATTAGACAGGGTGACAGGCCTGATTAAGAAGCCCAGGCACTAAGAACAAGTATCAAGACATGGAAAGGAAGAAGGAAAAAAAAAAAAAAGAAGGAATCCTGGTTTGCAAAGCGAAGAGCCCGATCGGTCTCTGACGCTCACACACCCTGCAGACGGGATGCTCCCTGCACAGAGCCCATTCATTCCCTCAGTGATGAGTTTCACTTTCCTACATCTCACTGCTGCTTGAAAAGTCAGGTCTCGCCTTGCAGGCTTAATTCTCTGGAGAAGAGCCCAGAGGTCATTGAATCAAGGGTGGTGACTTAAAAAAAAACAAAAGTGCTGATCAGTCTGAGCTGGCAGGACGAGAGGAGGTCCAGAGCTGAGAGGAAGCGGAAGCAGAGAGGGCTGCAATCCAGGGGGACCAGGCAAAGCCAGGGTGGGGCCAGAAGACAGCCAGCACAGCGCAGGCCCCACGGCCACTCGCGGGAGGCAGCACGGGACAGCGACTTGGAGCTCTCTAACGTGGACTCAGTGCGTTCTCCCAGCCTAGAAACAGAGACAGTGCTAGCTTCAACTTTCCCCTTTATTTAAATTTTTAATTGAAGTAGAGTTTGTATACAATATTAGTTTCAGGTGTACAATGAACTGATTCAACGTTTTTATACTCACAATCTGAGCATCCCACTAATTATAATAATCACTGGTCACTGTGCAAACTGATCACAATATTATTGACTAGATCCCCGAAACCTTTTTCACTCACACACCCGCCCCCTCCCCAGGCCCCTTCTCTGGCAATCATTCCTTTGGTCTTTGTTTCTATGAGTCTGGGTGTTTATGTTTTGTTTTGTTCATTTGCTTTGTTTGGTTTTAGATTCCACATCTAAGTGAAACCATAAAGTATTTGTTTTTCTGTCTGACTTATTTCATTTAGCAGGATACCCTCCAGGTCCATCCATGTTGTCTCAAGCGGCAAGATTTCATCCTGTTTATGGCTGTGTAATATTCCAGTGTGTGTGTGTGTGATCTATCCCTTCCTCTATCAATGGACATCTAGGTTCGCTTCCATCCCTTGGCTATTGTAAATAATGCTGCAATGCACTTTTTGAACACTGCATCGCCACTTTTTTCCCCTTGCTGAGCTTATGACACGGGCCAGGCCTGTCCTTACACACCTGGACTAGTCCTGGTTCCCCCCACTGCTCCCCACACCTCCATGGCAGCGTAGGATAGGCTGAAGGCTGCTGAACTGTTTAGGGCTTAACCTTAGTGTGACCGAAGTAGCACATTCTTTGAACATAGAGATGCTTCAGGACTTTATTGGGGAAGACACCTTTGTGCCTTAATTAACTGTGTGCTAAAGTCCCCTTTAACAACCTGGTAGGCGTGGCCAGCGCTGCAATGCAGCAGCCAATGGGCACCGTGACTGGCTGTTTGGCCCCTAGGCTGAGGCATTCCCAGGAACGCACAGCCAGGAAGCCCAAGATGACCCCACGTCACTCACAGGAGCCCGGGCCTCTGGAGCAATGGTGGGGTCGGGGGTAGTCTCACTAAAACACCAAGACCCTCCGTCGTCCCCTAGGTGTAGGGCTGTGTGTGTGTGTGTGTGTGTGCGCGCACACAAGCGCACCACAGAACATTCTGGCATTTTCTGAAATCTGGAGAGGCATAAAAATAGACCCACTCAGGCTTGGACTCAGACCAACAGAACACAAGCTTTCTCTGAAAGAATCAGGAAAAAAAATACAGCCAAGAAAAATACGCAGGCCTGAGCTGAGACAGGGCTGAGACACTTCGGTCTGAACACACACACACACACACACACACAGGCCCCAGGAAGAAGACAGAAGGAAACACACCTTGAGATGTATCATCACCCTAAACGAACTCGGACAACACATACAGGAAAGACGTGGGCACGCAGGAGGAGAGATGCCCATTCCTAGGCCCTAAGAGATGGCCTTCTAGGGAGAGGGGAGAGAGAGAGAGGAGTCGGGACACGCCCTTCCTCATATAGGGAGCCCCAGGGACACAGCAGGAAGAGAATTAACCCCGAGACCCGACCCGAAGGTGCACTACAAACACAGAAACTAGACATTGAGAGACCCAGGTGAGCTGAGGAAGGGCAGACATGCTGTCCAGAGTCAGGCCCAAGTGGACACCTGCAGGAATCCGAGGGGAAGAGACACCCAGGCCGATTGCAGCGACATGCCAGGGCACAGGAGAGGCCCCGCTCTGCCCCCTCTTAGTCCCTCTTTCTCTGGTCACCCCTGCGGGGCGCTGTCCCTGCCCCAGCCCCGGCCCCCTGCGCCCTCCCGGGCTCCCCTCCAGGCCGCCACTTCCCAGCGGTGACGCGGGAGCTTCTCTCACACCAATGGGGCCGCGGTGCCGTCGGGCCCTGCCCCTCCCCCAGGAAGGTGTGTCCCTCTTTCCTCACCTGAAACTTCCTAGGAGAACCAGATCCCTCCCTCCCGGCCGGGCGGGGAGGGGCGGGCGCGGCGGGTGGGGCGGCCGAGGCAGCCAGGCCTGCGCTGGGGACGGCCGGCCGGCGCCTGGGACCCGGAGGGGCTCCGTGCCGGGACAGCATGTGACACTGCCCAGGTGGGTGCCGCCTCCCTCGCAGCTCCTGGCTCCGGGAGGGCGGCTGTAGCACCCCGGCGGAGGTAAGGGAGGGACAGCAAGGACGGGAAGCTAGGCCTCCACCCCGGGGCCAGCCCCAGCTGGGTCCCAGGGCGCAGGCTCCGGAAATGGGGGGCTGGGCAGATGGGCAGAGTTCGGGGCGTGGGACTGAAGATCCTGGTCAGGAAGAGGAGGGAAACCGGAGGAAATGCTCCGGCCTGAAGAATTCGCTTCCGGCCTGGTCCCCGCCTTGGGACTGGGCACCCTGCCCCCTGAGGTCCCCCGGGCCAGTAAGAGGGCTCTTCAAAGTCTGGGTCCTGGAGAGAGCTAACCCCTGCAATGAGGAGGAGCTGAGATCCCCTTTGTGGGTATTCCCTACCTGTAGATGTTTTATTGTCTCCTTTTCCTTAGCCAGGCCTGGGCCTTCCTTCATTACCTCCCGTGGGCTCGCCCACTGTGCCTGTTAGGTACTGACCCCCCTGTGCTGGCCAAGATGCTTCCACCTGTAGATGACTCCCGTCCTGGCCCCCTTCCCTGTTTCCCCATATCTGGGGAGCACCTCCAAAGTTCCATGTCAATCACAGTACTGTCCTCTGAACTTGGGGAGGTGGGAAGGGAGCTTTGAGAGTTGGAGGTGGGGTGGGGCCCTCGTTTTGAGCATCATGAAAAACTGCCTTCCAACAAGACTGTCCTCAGAGAGCGAGTCCTGATGCCCCTTCTTTTTCGGATCTCAGTCCCGGCTCCCCTTCCTGGATCTTGGGTTCCCGAGACAGATTTGCCCTCCCGGCTCCTCCGAAGTGAACTCTGGCCAGGACTCTTGTCAGATTGAGGGCGAGAGGTGTGTCAGCCAGACAAGGGAGAGAGGGCGGTTCTCCCTTCTACTTCTTCCCTCTTGTGCTCCCCCCACGGCATTGGAAGGCCCTGCATCTTCTGCCTACTCCAGAAACCCCAGCTCCCAGCCAAACAGAAACAGCCCGGATGTGACCTCTGTCTCAGACTTCCTGTTTCAGCTACACCCGGTGTGGAGAAGCTGCTGGCCTAGGTCCTAGCAAAATGGGGGTCACTTGTTAGCCGGCCTGTGGGCCTGGAACTGAAGCCTCGTCCATTGAGGGGGCTCTTGGGGGCGGGGCTGGGAGGAGGAAGGATGTGGGTGTCAATTTGGAGTGAGGCTGTCTGGCAGGAGGAGTGTCAGTCATTATCCTGGCAGGGAAGAGAGGAGGGGTGCAAAGCACCCCTCTTATCAAGAGAGACAGCGATTCAAAACACAGTCAAGAGTCTACGTGTCTGAAGGGTCCCTCGAGTGTATGGCTGCCCACAGTGTGGTCTGTCTGAGGTTGTCTGTGGCCACAGAGAGCACAGCGCCTGTGGGGCAGACAAGATGATGTCATCTGTGGTGTCTGGAGTGGTCAGTCACTGTGGTGTGGACAAGGATGGGTCACTCACAAGGTCATGGGTTGAACAACAGCAGTGTTATTCAACACTGTCGGTGGTATAGCCCAGGCAGGTGGCTTACAGCATCTGGTGTAGACAGGAGTAAGTCGCTCACGTGTCTGCAGTAAATAGGAGCTGGTCGTTTATTGTGTCTGCAAGGTGGGCGAGGACAAGGTCAGCCTCGGGGTCGCTCACACATAGTCTGTGTGGATAGCAGCGGGGCCCCAGTGGGCTTGTGGGGCAGTGGCTGTTGGGACCTTTTCAGACGTTAGGAATAAATAAGACACATTTATTACAGTTTCCCCTAGGATGGTGGGGTTTTCTTAAGCAGATAGAACACAGGTCTTTGCAGTTAATGGTCCAGGTTGTTACTCTTATTTTTATATCTTTCTAGCATTGGGGCAATAATGTCAAACACTGAATAAAGGCATCCATCTATGTGGCAGCCTTATTTTCTTCCTTAAATATTTTTTCTTTATTGATTTTAGAGAGAGAAAGAGAGAGAGAGAGAGAAATAGAAACATTGATGAGAGAGAACATCAATTGGCAGCCTCCTGCATGCCCCCCACTGGGGATTGAGCCCACAACCTGGGCATGTGCCCTGACCCAGAATCGAACCGGCCACTTCTTGGTGCACGGGTCAGTGCTCAACCACTGAGCCACACCAGCCGGGCCAGGGAGCCTGATTTTCTACATCAACATAAGAACATGACTCCTTGTTTGTGGGGGGGGGGGGGGTATTTTCCTAAGATAAGCAGCGGTATAGACGATAAAGTGTAAAATGATGAAGTACTGTCCTCTCGAGTAGCTCAGTGATGTGTGGTGCAGGTGAACATTGGGAACTGCCACTGGTACAACTTCCAGGCAGCATGGTCCTCGGACTTCCACCCAGCAGGCACCTGGGTTCGGGGGAGAAGCGGCAGTGCTAGGGAGGTGGGGGCGGGGAGGGGACTGTCTTTGCAGTACAGTGTTAGGTCTGCAGACTAGAAGTGGACAAGAGCTAAGGAGTAAGGGGGCTCCCAGGGACACCATGAGCTCCGTTAACGGGCTGACTTGCAGCTTTGTCTTGAAAGAAGTCACATGTGGGACGGGGTCAGCAGATGCCACCCGTGTCTGGTCTCTCTGTCCTTGCCTGTGCTCGGCTAGTGAGATTCGCCCCAGTGGGGAAGGGGGCAAGGAGGTAACTCTAACTTACTGGGCGGTGCAGAAACTCTCCCGATGCCTTTGGGTGAGTTACAGCGTGGTTTGCAGATTTCCTTGAGCTTGGTTGTGTGCTGGGTTTGTGATGCCTGATTGGAATAGGATTGTAGCAGGACAGGCTCAAGTATGGGGAACGGTGGCCGAGCTAGTGACGGCCAGTATTTCCAAACGGACGAAGACTGTGTTAGGAATAGTGTCAAGGCGTGTGCAGGAGACAGACGAGCATTGCGTCACCAGAATGGAGCTGCAGATGTCCAGGTAGCGCATGGTGCGAACAGACAGAGCTTACATGTAGCAGAAACACACTCATGTTGTTAGACTGCTTGTTCTGAGGACATGGCAGCCTACATGGGTGTAGACGTGGGTGAGGGAGGGCTCCCGGCTTAGTTACACTGTCCCCTTATGCGGGTGGGAGCCAAGATTCACAAAGTGGTTACGTTGAGCAAGCATGTTATTTAACGCGTGGTTGAGAGAATAAGGTCACGTCACAGTGTCATCCCTCGTGATTATTCCGTCCTTCGGGCTAGACACAGGGAGCAAACCTTGCACTGTGTCAGTGAACTGGAAGAGGATACAAAGCCCTTCTACACAAGTAATGCTAACGTGAGACCTGGGGGCTCTTTGCCCCATACAGAGGGGATCTGTGTCTGTGGGGTGGCCAGGAACTTGTCACATACTCCCCACATCTGCAGGTGTCTAGGGACCTGCTTGTTTGGTTATGGCAGCCTCTGTTGTGTAGAAACTGCAGGGGTGGCTCACTGTGTGTGTGTGTGCGCGCGCGCGCGCATGTGTGCACGTGTGTGCACGCGCGCACGTGCGTGTGGGTGCGTGCACCTGCGTGTGGGTGCGTGCACCTGCTTGTGGATGCGTGCACCTGCGTGTGGACGCGTGCTCGTGTGAGCATGTGCGCAGGTGCACGCATGCGCAGTATCTCAATAGCGCCGCAGGCATTCTGGGGGGTGGGGCTTCCACTTTGTGCCCAAGCGGGACAGGAAGGGCCCGGTCCAGGTGCAGCCGTGGATTCCATAAGCCTCAAAGGCTCTGGGCTGGGGACCGCCCAGATGTCTCACATCTGGACTTCTGGTCGTTTCTGCTTGACTTGTCAGAAGACCTCGGTTTGAGTTCACCTGTTTTATTGATTTTAGAGAGGAGAGAGACAGACAGACAGACAGACATTGATGCGAGAGAGAAACATCAACGGATTGCCTCCTGCACGGCCCGGACTGCGAAGTGAACCCACGGTCTTTCTGGTGTGTGGGACAAGCTCCAACCAACGGAGCCACCCGGCCGGGGCCAACAGTGCGCTTTTTATACTATCTCATCGACTTTCCATTAGAGTTTCTCGCAAAGAACGTATTTTATTCTCTTTATAAAGATAAGAAAATGGGTGTTCAAATACATGAAATGATTTCTGTAACTGTTTTAAAATTAGTGAGATACCAAAAAGGCAAAACTAGAAATTGAACGACACTCTTGATTCTCCTTCCTTCCTTCCTTCCTTCCTTCCTTCCTTCCTTCCTTCCTTCCTTCCTTCCCGCAATACATCATCGTTGAGGGCCAACCAAGCTTCAGGCAGAGGGGACAGGGCAGTTCACAGGGCAGTGTCTGCAGCCCCCGGAGACAGACATTCTGAGCGTAATTACAAGAGCAAGGAGTGTGGGAGGGTAAGGCCTCTCTGGGGCAGGAGCAGAGGGTCCGGGCAGGGGGCAATGCCCAGGGAGGCCTACAGGCCGGAGGGAGGTGAGCCAAAGGGATGGAAAGCCAGCGGGTGGGCAGGGCTGACAGGTGACAGCCTGTTGGAGAGGCAGGCGGAGGCCAGGCTCAGGAGGGCACACCACCCAGGCTGAGTATTTGGGTTGCATCCCAATGGCAGTTAGAGGCTACGGAAGAATTCAAATCAGAAATGGGGCCTTGAAGACTCCCTCAAGAGCTGGGTGGAGAAGGCCTTGGACAAGGGGTCAGAGAGGCTGTGTGGAGGCCCGTGGCCAGGCTGTGCCTCCGGGGCGGTGGCCTGGGGGTGAGCCGCCAGACCGGGGACAGCAGTGGGCTTGGACAGAAGTGGACAGACTGCAGGAAGACAGGCGGTGGGCTCAACAGCACTGAGCGACGAGATCAGATGTGGGGAATGGGGGCCAGGAGAGCAACGAGAATCTTGTTCTGTGACTGAAAATCTTTATTGAGCACCTAGTATCGGCCGCGTATAGCCACTTGAGCAGGACAGAGGTACTTCTTGATCTCACGAGGTTTAACACCTGTTTTTGAGACAGACGATCAGTCAGAATACACACACAAGTATGTAATTATAATTGCGTGAATGCCACAAAGGGGGAGGGGGTGGGGTCTGGTTGAGCTCTACGAAGAGCAGTGGGGTGGCGTGGTTGGCGGTTTGGGCAAACGGAAGGGGTTAAACCGGCAAACTGTCATCTCACAGATAGCAGGGGGCATCTCTCGGGTCAGCAGTGTCCAGTACTGACAGGAACCCTAGGTCAGTGTCAGGGTCTCCTTTGGAGTTACCGACTTGAAGATTGTAGGGGAGGCAGGTGAAGGGAAGCTGGGAGACAGCAGGTGGGAGCAGCTGCTCTTACAGGTTAGGATGACGAGCAAGGGTGAGCAGCCTCGGTGCTGGTGGATGGTTCTAGCAGAGTGGGGGGTCGCCCCCAGGGCATGGTCCCTGAGAAGGAAGGCTGGAGAGGTGGTGCTTAGACTCAGGGTCACCTGCACCGTGGGAGCAGTCGAGGGAGAGAGAAAGGCGGGTCGCTCTGAGCTACAAGAAACAAGAGCAGCCCTAGCGGGTTTGCTCAGTGGTTAGAGCATCAGCCTGTGGTCCTGAGAGACCCAGGTTCAGTTCCCGCTAAGGGCATGTACCCTGGTTGCAGTTTGTCCCCGGCTCTGGTTGGTCGTGTGGGTGGCAGCCACTCGATGTGTCCCTTTCACATCGATGTTTCTCTTTCTCTCTCTCTCTCTCTCTCTCTCCCCCCTCCCTCCCTCCCTCTCTACTGAACAAAAAAAAAAAAAGAAAGAAAGAAACGGGAGCAGTTCCTCTCCTTCGGTTTGTCAATAGTTTGCAAAGAATTTTCTGGAAGCCAGAGCCGGAGTGGGAAGGTCAGGATTTTGAGAAGTAACAGGAAGAGTTCGCAAGGTGGTTGGAGAGGAAGAGAGGAAGGTCATGCGGGCGACACTGTTTTATGCACCTGCTCGACACAGGTGACCTCTGTCCACCGCGGCGCTGGTCTAGTGCGTGATTCTGCTCCAGGCCAGCCGCCTCTCTGACCGAAAACGAGTTGTCCCTTCGTTCGCGGGCTAGACTGGAAAATTCGGCGAGCACCACCCGGACCCTGCGTAGAGGCCATGACTCTCCGCTTTGCCTGGGCCATGGGTGACGGTGACCAGACCCACTGTGATCCCCGGCCGTGGCTGAGCAGGAAGCGCCCCCTCCAGCCCTGCTTCTCGGGCTGTTAGCCCTCGGGGTGTCGCTCCGTGTCTGGGAGTTACGTAGGGCTGAGTCACTCCCGCTGTCCTGAGTAGGCAGGGAGAGGCCAGATGACATCATACCATCTAGAGGGTGATGACCACCCGAGCGCCTGGTGGTCTGACCACGAGGCTCTGGTCTGGGCACTTACGATCTGTCTCTCCCATACGACTGTGGGCTCCGTGAGGACACCATCTCCTTCACGACCGACGCACCGCACTGGGAAGGGTCACTTGCTGAGTATTTGCTAAATAGACAGATAAGTGACAGGTTTTCTAGAGGCTATTGCTATTGTGGACAGAGGGTCCGAGCTGGGGGTGGGGGTGGGGGCCTTTCATCTCAAAGAATGACTCTACGTGGCCCCAGAGAAACGGCCCCCTCTTTTTCTTCACGGTCTGCCCCTCTGAGAGGTCAAAGCAGCAGAGCTGATAGAAACTTTGTCTTTTATTCTGCTTTAGGATCCAGCCCCGATGGAGGCTGAGGAGCCCGGACATGGAGCACCGGCTCCCGTCCCTGCCACAGCAGAACTCAGTGCTGTCCCTGAAGCTCTCATGAGAAGCAGCCAGACCCCCACCGTGGGCCCCGATGCTCAGGAAGGCCAGCACCCAGCCCATAAGTGGGCAGAGGGATGCAGACCCTTGGAGACCCAGCAGAGAGATGGGAATGAGTGTGCAGCGGAGGGTGTGGCCTCTCCCCCCGCAGGAGCCCTGGTGGATGTGCACCCCAACCAGGAAAACCGTCTGGCCGAGGCCCGGGACATGCCAGAGGGCCAGGATGCAGGGCCCCGGAGCCCAGCAGACAGACAGGCCAGGACCCCAGCTCCCCCAGAGCGCCGGGCCTGCCCTGTCCAGGCTGAACATCTGAACATGGTCCCAGGACCCAGTGAACTGAGCAGCAGATCGGAGGTGGAATTCAGACCGGAGCTCCCCTCTTTGACGCTGGGGACGCGGCAAGCAGAAGAGAAAGAGGAAACTGCTCCAGATGCCCCTGCTCAGCCCAGATGTCTGCCTCCCTGCGAAGAGCTCCCGGCAGAGACCGACCCTCTGCAGGGTTCTGGATGTGGGACCCTTGGGCCGGGGGAAGAGCCGCAGGGAAGTCCAGGGAGAGAAAGACTTGTGTGTCCCCGGGAGGCCGAGGAGCTGCAGGAGCCGGGACAGGAAGAGAGGGCAGCCCCTGGGGAGGCTGCGTGTTCTGATGGGCTTCTAGGGGAGCAGGAGCAGATGGGGGAGCGGGTTAAGGGTACCCAGGGAGGACAGAGGCAGGACGAGGTGGAGCTTGCACAGCAAGGAGAACAGTGGGGGCTCAATGGGGAGTTGGGAGGCGAGAGCGGCGATGAGTGGGAGCGGGGGACTCAGGGCCAGGAAGGGCTGGAAGTGGGCAGGCAGAGGGGGGAGTCTCGGGGGCCAGATGAGAGCAGGCGGGGTGCTCAGTGCCAGGAGAAGCCAAGCTCAGCCAGGAGAGCAGGGAAGGCACCTGGGAGGCAGGAGCATCAGGGTCTGCCCGGGACCCCGATGCCCGGGGAGCAGGAGGGGGAGGAAGGCTGCGATGGGCCAGCACCTCGGGGACTGGGAGGAGAGAGGAGCACAGAAGAGGGGGGCGAGCCGGGTGGTCCCCCCACGCTGGCTCTGGCCGTCCCTGAGTTCTCTCCCTGGGACTCGAATGCCAGGACCAGGGTTTCCGGGGAGCCGTCTCCCGAGGCTCTGACTCCTGCACTGGAGCCCACAGGGTGTCCCCCTCAGCCCATTTCTGTACCCAGCTCCTTCCCCACGGCGGGGTCACCTGGCCAAGGAACAGCTCAGGGCAGCCAGCTGGAGGGATGCGCGCCAGGGATGGGGGCAGCACCCTGCGGGGGCACGGAGGTGACTTCTCCAAGGACACGAGGGTCGGCGCCTTTCACTTCTGCTGAAGGCTCCCCCAGCATCGCTGCCCCACCGTCGGCCAGCCCCCCAATTGCCATCCCCAGGAAGAAGGCTTCTCTTGCTGCACGTTCTCCAGAAACTGCCAGAGCCTCTTTCTCATCCGACAACCTGTCTCCCCGAGGGGCTTCCGAGACACCCCCGGCGGCCCTCTGCGGCCCCCCCTCGGCCAGCCCTCTGAGCCCCCTGGCCAGCTCCCCAGGGCCCGCCCAGCACCCCTTGAGCAGCTCCTTCCCTGGCTCCCACAGGACGCCGCTGGCTCAGGACCTGGCCGGATGGTCGCTTTCCTTCTCTCACGCAGAGTTGCCCCAGAGGCCCCCCAAACCTGCTGCCCATGGCTCTGTGACCCCGAGAAGGGACAGGAAAAGCAGCCGGGACTGCAGCGTCACTCCAGAATCCCCCAGTTCGTCGGCCACTCCGGGGCAGGACTCTGGCCAGTTCCCCTCAGATCCACACCGCAGTCCCCACAGCCAGCCCTGGGGATCCCCACAGAATTCAGCCTTTGCCCCCGGGTCTCCTGCCTACGGCTCCTCACCGCCCCCCGTCTTCGTGGATATGAGGCTGCATGAACTCGCGCCCCCTGCTCCCCCAGAGAAGAGGCACGCCCACCACTCCGCGGGGGACAGGGCCAGCCAGCGGGGCGCAGGGGCCCCCACCCTGAGGCAGTGCAGCTGCCCTCCTTCACCGGTGCCCTGTGGCTCCCCCAAAGGCTCACTTCCCGAAGCTCCTGACCCCCTTGTGGCAAGGCAGTACCGACCTCTGCCCTCCACCCCCGATGACCCCCACCCTACTCGGACCTCTTCCTCCCCGAGGCTGAGATACAACAAGCCACTCCCCCCAACTCCTGACCTGTGCCAGCCCCCCCAGCCTCCCGGGTCTCACAACAGCCCAAGGATCTACAGGCCTCTACCCCCTGTCCCTGACGCAGCCGCCCCCGCGGAGCCACCCCCGCTGCCCCCCAAGTCCAGGGGGCGGAGCAGGAGCATTCAGGCAGCGCTGGTGAACTCAGGGGGTCAAGTCCAGCCGAGGCCCGCCGGTCCAGAGTGGACGGCCTCCAGCCCCCACTCCGCTGGACGTACCTCCTGGCCCCCGGCCACCGGCAGATCCGCAGACGCTTTGGCTCCCTCCAGTAGGAGTAAGAGTGAAGCGTCCCCCAGCACGGCTTTTAGCAACCCCACGACTCTTCTAAGTCCTCCTTCCCCAACCAGCCCCTGGACTCTGGGGCTCCAGGCTCCCGCCTTCGAACCCGGGCTCTCCGGAGAGTCCGAGGCCCCTGCCAGGGGAGCGTTGAGAAGAGCAGCCCCCCAGGAAGGAGCCAACGGCCTGAGGAGGTTGGATCTCGGTTCCGCCAGGCAGCCTGAAAAACCCAGCCATCCCCACTTGGAGAAGGCGTCCAGCTGGCCCCACAGGCGGGACCCGGGGCGGCCGCCGCAGGGCAGTGGTACCCCGCCCGCCGCCTCCGTGGAGGGCTCCAGCAAGCACAAGGGCTGGCACCGGCAGGGCCTGCGCAGACCGTCCATCCTGCCCGAGGGCTCGGCAGGTGAGCCAGGAGCACTCGGCCGAGCTTTCTGCAGCCCTTGCCCCTCGTCCACCTGTCCCCAGGGCTCCCGGGACCCCACTGGCTTCACTCAGCCACAGAGCCCACCCCAACACCCAGGGAAGCCCTCGGCGCCGCGCTGAGCACACTGCTCTCCTCTCCATCACCACCTGTCACCCCGCCTGGCGCTCTTTTATGTGTACCTTTCCCAAGACGGTTCTGGACACGCTCCCCCACCCCGAATGCACCCCACTTGCCAGCTACCAACACCTGTTCAGTGTCCTCCTCTTGCCGAGAAGACACCCTCTCCTTGTCCAGCTCGCGTTCTGACAGGAGGGCGGGGCTCATGCCTGGCAGTGGTACCTCAAAGGCCTCCTAGGGGGCACTTCCCTCCCCCAGGCCCCAGCTGCGCCCTTTGTCCCCTCCCCACTCTCTGTCTTGCCTTCTTGTGCCCTCTCTGAGTGTCCCTCTGAAACCTGTCATCTCACCCTCCCCTTTCCAGATACCAGAGGTCCAGCTGTGGAGAAGCCCCCGGGCCCATCAGACACCATTGTTTTCCGGTGAGTCACCCCCTCTCCTTGCTGGCACCCTGTCCTCTCTTTTCTTAGGATGCTGAGATTTCCATTAGTTGACAGTTTCCAGGCCCCGGGAGGAGGGGACGAGACAGACACTAGGATTCCAGGGTAGGGGACCCTTGGCTCGACCTCGTGTGGTTATCTGAGTCCTCATTTTCCGTCCTCCTTGGCCCTTTGGCCGTGAACTAAGCCCCCTGTAAAAGTTCGGCATGACATCCAAAAAAGCTTCACGCTACCCCAAAGTGGGTCAGGCTACAACCGGCCTCTGCAGGGTACTCGGCCCTGACAGCCCAGCGCGTGGCCCGGAGGTCAGAGCCCGGCCTGTCTGTGATCCCCGGGGGCTGCTCTGAACCTGGTGGTCAGCCCCACCCCAGATCCTTCCTTCGCTCCACAGGGAGAAAAAGCCGAAGGAGATGATGGGGGGCTTTTCGCGACGCTGCTCAAAGCTCATCAACTCCTGTGAGTATCTTGAAACCACCACAGATGCCCACGGTGTTGTGTCCAAGAGTGGAGAGGGGCTCGTGGCCGTGGGCAGTGGGGAGGGGACACCTGCAGCAGGCTGGTGGCCTCTGCCGGCCTCCGTGCCTGATCCCCGCTCCCCTAATTCTCTCCTCCGTGGTTCCCCCCGCAGCCCAGCTGCTTTACCAGGAGTACAGCGATGTGGTTCTGAACAAGGAGATTCAGAGCCAGCAGCGGCGGGACGGCCCGGCAGAGGCCCCCGAGCCCGCCTCCCCCCGGCAGCCCCGGAAGGCCCTGGTGTCCTCAGAGTCCTACCTGCAGCGCCTCTCCATGGCCTCCAGAAGCTCCCTCTGGCAGGAGATCCCCGTGGTGCGGAACAGCGCCGTGCTGCTGTCCATGACCCACGAGGACCAGAAACTGCAAGAGGTACCCCACGGGCAGGGGGGGCGGGCAGAGGGACACAGGAGAAAGCTCACATCCTTATCTTCCCCTCACCACCTGCCACACACTCGTGCGTAGCCGCGGCTATCGGTCATCTCCACTGCCATGGGCTTGAACTGCTCTCTGAAGGTCACCAGTAGCCTGCCCCTCCACCTCCGCATGCCATGGGCCATTCACACCACCTGGCCTTGGTTCAGAGCGGCCACGCCTCTGACTCTGTCGGGAGGAGTGTGGAGCCCATCCCATCACCACTGCTTCAGGCTCTACCAGAGATTCCCCTCCCACCAGGACACAACCAGGAGCTTTCGCCAGGTCCCTTGAAGGCCGAGTGCCCTGCACCTGCCTGTGGTCCCTCGGACCCACAAAGGCTGCTGGATGACAAGCAGCCCGTAGTAGAGGCTGTGTGTCTGTTGTTAAGTGAGGACCCTGGATAGGTTTCGCACGGAGAGCGTGTCTGATAGCCGATCTGAAATACGCCTTTCGGGGCAGGAGGGCCCGGGGGAGAGGCGCCCGGGAGTAAACGTTTCGGTATTTCGGTTCTAGAGCAACGACCCAGAGGCGCGCCTGAGTCTTTGCCGGCTATTTAAGTCTGGCCAGACGACCTGTGCTTTCGGTCTCTCTCCTCACCTGTAAAACTGCGAGGAGGCCCTGGGAGAATTACAAGGACGAGTTACACAACCACTCTCTCCGTGTCCTCACCTAAGACGCGAGAGTGGCCACTGCCTTTCAGGACTGAACGAAAGAACACAGTGTGTGGGACATAGTGTGGCGCGTATTAGTGCCACCCTCCCCTTTCAGAGGTGGGAAGGAGAAACCTGTGGGCCAGAGGGACTTAAGGTTAAGCGATGCTTTTCCCAAGCCAGACAGACAGATATATACTTCAGGGGTTTCAGAGCTCAGATGTGGGGACCCCCTTCTGACCTTAACTTTCAAAGCACATGGAGGAGACCTGGCCCAGTCGCTCAGCTGGTGGGAACATGGTCCTGATCTGCTACGGTCCTGGGTTCAGCCCCTGGTCAGGACACAGGCAGGAATCAACCAGTGAACACACAAATAAGTGGAACAACACGTCGATGTCTCTCTCACCTTTCCTCTCTAATCAATAAAAAATAGGATAAAAATCGCACGGAGGATACTTAGAAAACCAGTGCTCGCCCGTGTTTGCGGGCCGTGCAGTGGGACAGGAGGTGTCTCCAGCCTCTCGCCATCTCCAGCACTCACAGTCCCTGGGCTCCCGTTTCTGAGCCGAGCCTCTGCACGTATAAGCGCGTGTTTCTTCCCTAAAACAGCGGTTCTGGGGGCTACCACGTGCCCTCACTGACTCTGTTTCTTTTACGGTCACATCTCTGTGAGATTCAGAGAGGTTAACCGAGCCACCCAGAGCCACGGAGTGGGAATGTCCGAGCGCAGGGCACAGACAGCGGAACCTGTGGGGGTCTCTGGCTCAGAAGTGACTCCGTCACCCTCCCGGGCACTGAGCTCCGCACCGAGCTGTGCCCTTTCCTGCTCCTATCGGCCTCCTTTCTTGCAAATAACCAGATCCTCCCGCTGTCCCTCCCGAATAAGCATGGAACCGGCCACCCGTCCCTGCCCCCATGGCTACCCAGGCCGTTCCCTCTTACCCGGACCGTTTCCTGAGGGCTCTCTGGTGCCCGCTAATCTTTCTCCACCCTGTGCTTAGAAATACATGTATGATCAAGTTATTCCCCTGCAGCAAACCTTTCCCTGTTTCCCCGGGTCTTACCCCTTTTTTGCACAACCCTCCAGACCTCCCTCTGTCTGCCCCGCTGGCTTCCGCTCTGGCCGCGGCTCAGCACGCAGCTCCACAAACGCGGTTTCAGTCGCCAGGAAGCATCTTTCTGTCTCACCCCGGGGGGCGGCTCACGTGCCTGGACTTCATGCCCTTTCCCTGTCCCTGAGGTGAGGTGAGGCTCTGTGCGGGGTGGGCAGCCGAAGGACCTGTCTTGTTCGCCACTCTGCCCCTAACACATACACCAGGGAATCGGAACAGGTTTTAAATTCATCGTCCTGCCCTGGCCGGTTTTGCTCAGTGGTTAGAGCGTCGCCCGCAGATCAGAGAGTCCTGGGTTCGGTTCTGTCCAAGGGCAGGTACCTCAGTTGCAGTTCGTCCCCGGCCCCAGTTGGGGTCATGTGGGTGGCAGCCAGTCCATGTGTCTCTCTCATATCAATGTTTCTCTCTCTCTCTCTCTCTCTCTCTCTCTCTCTCTCTCTCTCCCCCTCCCTCCCTCCCTCCCTCCATCTCTCCCTCCAGCTCTATCTGAAGATTAATCTAAAGATATCCTTGGGTGAAGAGCAAAACAAGAATAAAGTTCACGCTCCTCCTCCCTCCCTCCTAGGCCAAGTTCGAGCTGATCGTGTCCGAGGCGTCGTACCTGCGCAGCCTGAACGTGGCGGTGGACCACTTCCAGCACTCGGCCCAGCTGCGCGCGGTGCTGACCAACCAGGACCAGCAGTGGCTCTTCTCGCGTCTGCAGGACGTGCGTGACGTCAGCACCACGTAAGGCTCCCCTCCCGGGGCCGCTCCCTCAGCCTCGCTGTCCGCAGCCGGATCACCTCCGGCGGGGACGGGGGCGAGCAGAGGGCGGGGGGTGCAGAGGGCCGTGGGGATGAACACGTCCATGAGCAATGCCTCCTGGGTCGAGGTTGGGGTGCGCTGCGGCACGAGGTTTGGGAAGCATCTGACGACGAGGAGACCAGACGTATTCCCACAAAGAGCTGGGTCAGGGGAGGACGGGAGCAGCCTCGGGGAGAGCGCAGGGCACAGCAGGGGCGCAGTGCCAAGGACAGCGATGGAAGTGATTTCCTAACAGACGTCAGGAGCAGCGGGGTGGCCGGCGCTCACCGAGGCCTGCAGGTTGAGGCCTGTCCAATGCTACGCAGGTTCCTCTCAGACCTGGAGGAGAACTTCGAGAACAACATCTTCACCTTCCACGTGTGTGACGTCGTCCTGAACCACGCCTCCCACTTCCGCCGCGTCTACCTGCCTTACGTCACCAACCAGAGCTACCAGGAGCGCACCTTCCAAAACCTGCTGTGAGACGGAACCCCGACCCCCGTGGTCCCTGTGTGGGCGGGGCAGCGCCCTTGCACCCGAACCTCCAGCCCCCCACCCACGTGCTGTCCCAGGGGCACGCAGCCTTGTGCAGCTTTGCGACCGCAAGCCCAGCCCACCTTCCAGATCAGGGGTGTCGTCCCCGTGTCCATCGGACCCACCACTCCCCCCTGACCCACAGACGTTCCACTGAGTCCCACTGTGTCCCCTACTCCCCGCCCCCTGACCCGAGCCCCCGTTGCACAGGAACACGAACAGCAGTTTCCGCGAGGTCCTGGAGAAGCTGGAGAGCGACCCCGTGTGCCAGCGCCTGTCCCTCAAGTCCTTTCTGATCCTGCCTTTCCAGCGCATCACGCGGCTCAAGCTGCTCCTCCAGGTCCGCCCAGCCGGGGACTCTTCCCTCCGCTCAGGGGGTGATTCAGGAAGCCCCCCCACCACCACCACAGGCCTGGCCCTCCTGCACTGCCCACAGCCCGTGGGCAAGTGAGCAGCTCCCCACCGCCCACACCCTCCTCCTCAGGGTGAATTCCTGATAAACCTTGGTCCCGGGAACCCTCCATTAGCCCACCCCACCCCTCTCCGTCTCCAGCCCTTCTTCCATCCGGCCCTGTCTCCTGTTTGCTTGCAGAACATTCTGAAGAGGACACAGCCTGGCTCCTCGGAGGAGGCGGAGGCCACGAAGGCGCACCACGCCCTGGAGAAGGTAGGCACCCCCGGGCCCCCACAGACGTCTTCCCCTGCCCAGGCCCACGGCCCCTGCTGATGGATCCCTCCGCCACCTGCTGCACCGTCCAACCTCCCTGCCCCAGGACACTGCAGTCGCAGCCTCCAGACTCGGTCTCCTTTTCACTCAGCCCAGGAATAGTGGCCCGGCCATACCAAGTGTACCGAGTCCTGAAACTCCGGCCCGGTTCTGCCTCCACGCAGTTCGCGCCCGGAGGAAAGCCCCCCCTGTCACAACCGCTGATGTGCAGATTTCTTGCAGGGGCTGGGTGGGGGGGGGCACACCTCTAACGTGCTCTTCCTCTGTCTGCACCCGCTCCGCGCAGCTGATCCGCGACTGCAACAGCAACGTCCAGAGGATGCGGCGGACGGAGGAGCTCATCTACCTGAGCCAGAAGATCGAGTTCGAGTGCAAAGTGAGTGAGTGGTCAGCACGTGGGCAGGCACCGGCTGCGCGGGGCCTCTGGCTCGCCCCTTGCCAGCCTCGGGCCTCACTTCTGCACGCCTCTGGTCTGTCCTGTTTCTGGGGTGCCCGGATGCCCACTTCGTGTTCCGTGATGCCCCATTCAGTGAGAAAGGGGGGGAACAGAACTGTGCGTATTGCCCTTGGTGGGAAGTTGGAGGGTGCCCATCTGGGTATGCATTTGCTTGTGTGTGGAGAGAAACTGGGAGGGGGCATGAGAAATCAAGGGCCGTGGCTGATGAGGGAGGACTGATCCATGAAAGCCTTGATGAAGACATACGCTTGGTGCTTCAGCCAGTCGATATTTCATCGTCTCCATCGAGGGTAGCCAACACGATGGAAACTTGAATCCAAATCTAGGGCTGCAATCTCCCACCCGAATGCAAAAGCTACAACAGACATTCCACATCTAAATTCCAACTCAGAGCAGTCTCCCTTGTCCACAGAGAGATCGTAGTTTCTACCCTTATCTTTGCCCACATTCCAGCTCCAAGCAGATTCTGCCTAGTCCTCCTTAATCTCCTTCCCACCTCTGAGTCTAGCTGCTCCTCTCGGGTCTCTGGTTATAATGAAAAGAAGAACAGATGTAAGAACGGCCCAAATCTTTTAAAGTCTAAGACGTACACGTACGGTTCCCTGCCTTCTCCCATCACCGGCCCTAATGGCTTTTCCATGTGTGGTTCTTCAAAAACTTTTTTTTCTTTATTGATTTGAGAGAGAGGAGAGGGGAAAGGGAGAGAGAGAAACATGGAAGAGAGAGCCTCCTGCACGCCCCCCACTGGGGATCAGGCCCACAACCTGGTCATGTATCCTGACTGGGAATCGAACCGGTGACCTCTTGGTGCAGGGTCAACGCTCACCCACTGAGCCACACCAGCCGGGCTCCACGTGTTCTTCAGTTTCTAGGGCTGGGCTTCCTCACATGGCCACCATTCGGGCTGGACCGTAGGCACCTTCCGTTGCCTGAGTTACGGACGTGGGCGCCGTCCCGTGGGCGCCGTCCCCGTAGACAGCAGTGCTTGGGGGGCTCATGGAGAAGCAGAGTCTGCGGGGATGGGCTATGAGCAAGGGGGGGATGTGGAAGCCAGAACTGTCGGTGGGATTTACGAGCAAGGGCAGGACCGAGAGGGAGCCTGCTGGGGTCCTGTCTGTGACTCCGCCTTGTCCGCCCTCCCTTCGCAGATATTCCCACTCATTTCGCAGTCACGCTGGCTGGTGAAGAGCGGAGAGCTGGTGGCGCTGGAGTTCAGTGTCTCCCCGGGGCTGCGCAGGAAGCTGAACACGCGTCCCGTCCACCTGCATCTCTTCAATGACTGCCTGTTGCTGTCTCGGCCCCGAGAGTCAGTGACGGGAACGGGAAGCGAGAGGGGAGGATGGGGAGGGACAGAGAGGGGTCGTGTTCCTCAGGGAGCCCAGGTCGTGGCATTAAGAGAAAGAGTCCAAGCCAAAAAGGGGATCCCGCCAAATTATGTCACAAGCTCACACAGCAAGACCTGTGCCAGGTTATAGACACAGAGTGCAATGCAGCCGATCAGCAGTGACTTGCTCAACTGCTCCTCGCGGTTTCGTTGGGCCGGGCTCCGTCTGTTAGCCCAAGGATCCTTAGCCAATTCCAGATCCCGAATCTTCGGTCCAAAGGGCCTCGGAAAATCCCTGCTGGTTCTGGCTCTGCAACTCTTTAGAGGGCCGAAGCATCCGAGAGACTAGATACGTGGTTTGCCAAGCCAGTGACTCTTCCCTGGGGGCTCTGGCGCTAGCACCTCGAGAGCAAGTTCACACCACCCTATGGCTTTCGTGAGAATTCGCAGGCTGCAGAGGCTAAGGATGGGACCTCGGACCCAAAGACCTGAGTGTGGTGAAGGGTGGCAGCTCTGGAATGTGGCTGAAAAGCTTTTGTTTGGCAGGGGCCGGTTCCTGGTGTTTGACCATGCTCCCTTCTCCGCCATCCGGGGGGAGAAGTGTGAGATGAAGCTGCACGGATCTCACAAAAACCTCTTCCGCCTCTTCCTGCTGCACAACACCCAGGGCACCCAGGCCGAGTTCCTGTTCAGCACGGAGACTCAGTGAGATGGAGCAGGGCAGAGGAGCTGGGGGGGGGGGCAGCCTGGGAAGGAAGTGGGACCGAGGCAGGAAGTGTGTCCAGAAAACAGCCACCGCGCTGTGTAGTTCACGCTGGACCGGGGAGCACCCACAGAGAAACCCCGGCTCCCGGAGCTAATAGGCGCCTGCAGGAGAGGGAGGTGGGCAAGGGCATGACGTCACCACCAGGGATTAGCATCCATTGTACCCCTTTGGCCTAGCAGGACACAGTCTGCGAGATACCAGGAAGGAGATGGACCGGGGGAGACAGTAAAGAGTTGGATTACTGACACCCATGAGTGAGCCCATGAGTACAAGCCAGGCTGGTGGCGGACGTGTGACTGAGACAAGCCCCGGGGTGCCTTGGGCCCACCTTCCCCCCAGTCCTGGGTGGAGCAGAAATCCGTAGAGCTGAGAACTTCAGTCTGCTCATCTTTTAAACAGTAATCAAATAATAATTTACACACGCCCGACATATTGGAGAACGTTAACCAATACCTATATAGTCCGGTACGCAGTACCGACCACAGTGACGAGCTACAAGCCGGTACCTGTCACCGATGTGTTAAAAGATACATGAAATTATTCCTTAAAGAACTTTGACGTGTTAGCGGGTCGTTGGAGGGTCCTCACATTTCAGACACTCTTCAGCCTCGTCCCTTGGAGGACACTTCAGGACATGTTCACTGATGGAGCAGAGGGCCTGGCGGAGGAGGCGTCCGTATGCACGGTGTCGCCTGCCCCGGGTAGTCAGACGCGGCCTCGTGCCCTCTGCTTGGCACCTTGGGCAGCATCTTCCCGGAACAGCCATGGCACCTGCTCTCAGTCTCTCCGGTGTGTTTGGAAGCCGAGGCTGAGATAAGGCAGCAACCTTCAGATGAGGGATGAGCATTAGGCTGGGGTGATATTACACAACAAGAAGAATCAGGTGCATCTCCCTGACCTAATTACGGTTACAGAACGATTTCATCTCTGAGACAGAGAAGGGAGGTGGGCAGAGTGTCAAGAATTACGCAAAGCGACAGAGGGAATCTACACGGAGGTGAACCGTGGTTCGGTCCCGTCCCCAAACGGACGATCCACCGGTTTATAATTGGCGGTTGACTTTACGCCCCCACTTGAAAGATTCGAGGTGCCACGGACAGGGTAACTGGAGAGGGGAGGGGAAAACAAAGCGGGGTCAGACGCACTCACGTACAGTCAAGCTCCTGTCCTGCCTCCAGCCGAGCCGAGTCCTGTTGACTTTTGCCCTAGATGCCACCGCACTAGACAGGTCTTTCCCACAGTCATGCCCGTTGCCCATGGTCGTCCCTGGTCCCCCGCCCCCAGCGCTGCGGCTGAAGTAGTGGCCCTGCTCTGTCTCCTCAGGAGTGAGAAGCTGCGGTGGATCTCGGCCTTGGCCATGCCCAGGGAGGAGCTGGACCTCCTGGAGTGCTGTGGTGAGTGGGAGGGGAAGGCGGCAGGGTGGCCGTCTCCTTGAGAGGGCTGGTGGCGACTCCGCGGCTTCCGTCCATTGCGTCTGCCCAGAACGTCAGGAGGGAGACCCCTGAATTCAAACACCTGAGATGCATCTGCTTAAAACTGCCCACCGCACGCAATGCCTCGTCCCCCGTGTACCCTGCCTCTTTTTAAATAGTTGGCCCCTTGAGTCTATCCTGCTATATATATATATTTTTTCCCTTGATGTTACCTGCTTGAAGGTCTTGGGGAAACGGGGGGAGGCAGTGGGGCTGGGGTGGGAGTCGGTAGTCCCGTGTTAAGCTCACCCTCCTCCTGTAGAGGGTGACCTGAGACCCCTGCCCTGACCCCAGGATTCCAGGTGCGCACAGGTGTGCACAGGCACACACAGATCGTGAATGTGTCTGCATTCATGCCAAGACTGGGTTTAGGGGTCTCCTGTGAGCCCCCAGTGGTCCTCCAGCCAGGATTCCCTGAGCCATACCCAAAGGGAGCTGAACTCAAAGGAAGACTAGACCTTTGGTGACTCAAGAGGACAAATACAAGGAAAGGAAGTAGAGCCTGGCTGTAAACAGTTCTGGTAACTTCTCCACTGTGGGGTCTGCTGGGCAGGAAGGCAAGTAATTCTTCCCCCTTCACCGTGGCCTGAACGGCTGTGAGGACGACTCAGAAGAAGGGCAGCTAATGAGCGGAGGTTCCGTGTGTGGTCTGAGGGCACTAAGCGCCGTCAGAAAGGTAGAAAACACAATGAACCCGCAGAGGACGGGACGCTTGTGGTTAGGAGCACTCTGAGGCCTGTTAATATCGAGCTTCAAAAACTGTAGGAATTTCCCGATTCAGGAAAATATAGAAAGTCCAAAACTTCCTCAAGCATCTTCTTGATCAACCCAGTCATGTCCCAGGGGGGAGCCTGCAGCGAAAGGGGAACCCACTGGTGAAGTCTCTGCCAGGCCCACGTCGAGGGCGGTGGAGAAAATGCAGAGCCGAGTCAGACTCAGGCTGTGCCGTCTGGTTGCAGACCCAGAACACCTAGCGAAGCATTAGGTAAGGGGTGAAGGGTTCAGCCTCCACCGGCGGTTTCAAAGGAGCTCGGAATCCACCAAGGACTTGAGAGTCAGGGAAGCTTCCAGAAGGAAGATGAGTCTGGAGCATTTTTTTTTTTAAGTATGTTTTTATTGATTTTTAGAGAGAGAGGAAGGGAGAGGGAGAGAGAGATAGAAACATTGATGTGAGAAAGGAACATGGATCGGCCGCCTCCTGCACGCCCCCTACTGGGGATCAAGCCCCCAACCTGGGCATGTGCCCTGACCAGGAATCAAACCTGGACCTCTCTCTCAGTCCATGGGACAACACTCAATCCACTGAGCCACACTGGCTGGGCGGGTCTGGCGTATTTGTAATCATGAGTCACTAGAGGTGTTCACAGTGTATCCTCAATCCTTCTTCCCCAGAGAAATTGAATTTTTGATGCATTTCAATTCCGGTTTTCCTATGTCCTTGTCAACCATTTTGTTCCCTGGTAGAAGAGGAAGACATTTCCGTGGGTCTCTCTTGCCTGTAACTTTGAAAAGCTCGAACTTTCTCACTCCCGCGTCCTCCCAGCCTCCCCTGCGGGTCCCCTTCCATGTTCCAGTCACTTGCCCTTTCTAACCTCCCTTCCCACTCTCCCCTTCCAAAGATGCCCCCCAGGTGCAGTGCCTTCGAGCCTACAAACCCCGGGAGAATGACGAGCTGGCTCTGGAGAAGGCCGACGTGGTCATGGTGACTCAGCAGAGCAGCGACGGTAAGAGGGCGAGTCCCCCGGGAGCAGGCTGGCATTGGAGGGGCACACCGGAGACGGACGCACTTTTCCTGGGGCTGCAGTAACACAGGACCCCAGACTGGGTGGCGTACAACACCTCTCTCGTGGTGCTGGAGGCTAGGAGTTCAAAATCAAAGTGTTGGCAGGGCCTTGTTCCCATTATAGCCCCTCGTCAGGGTCCTTTCTTGACTCTCCCCGCTTCTGTAGTTCTAGGTGTTCTTGGCTTGCGGCAGCGTAACGCCAGTCTCTACCTCTGTCTTCCTTCTGTGTGTGTGTGTGTGTGTGTGTGTGTGTGTGCACATTTTCCTCCTTCGGGATACCGGTTCCACTGGCTTCATGGCCCCCTTTCCTCAAGTATGACCTCATTTTAACGTCACTAATTACATCTGCCTCAACCCTAGTCCCAAATAGGGTCTCCTTCTGAGGTACTTGGGGTTGGGACTTGAACAGATATTTTGGGGGGACACAATGCAACCCACGAGAGTGGAGCAGGACACTAGGGGTAGCAGCCGTAGACTTGGCCAGACCTAGGGCAGCCGGCTGAGGGCTCCAGGGTTGGGGGTCCCGTGCTCTGGGAGCACCCCAGCTTGTTCAGCCTTACGATTCAGAAATGTCTCCGGGAAAGTGGTCCAGGGCAAATGATTGTCTGTGTTCTCCAGATAATTCTTCTCCCCACCCCCCTGTGCCCGTAGGCTGGCTGGAGGGCATGAGACTCTCAGATGGGGAGCGAGGCTGGTTTCCTGTGCAGCAGGTGGAGTTCATTTCCAACCCAGAGATCCGCTCACAGAACCTGAAGGAAGCCCAGCGAGTCAAGATGGCCAAACTGCAGCTGGTGGAACAGCAGCCCTAGCTGTTCTCTGGAAGGACTCTCCGGAGCTGAAGGGCAAGAGGTTCTTGGAGAGGGTTGGCCCCACAACCCTGAAACAGAGGCCTTCTCTGGACCAAGAACTAGACCCGCCAAGGGCCCAGGGACAGAATCCAGCCACTAGTCGCTAGTCCCAGGCTTCCTTTTTTGTGCTCTGTGCTTGGTCGGGGATTTTGAGGGACTTTGCACTGGATTCTGGGAAACTTTTCTTACAGGAAAGGAGACCACTGTGGCCCAAACCAAGGAACTCTGCATATTCTACTGTGTGGTTCTTAAACGTGCTCTGCTTCCGGAGGGCAGATTCTGAGCTGACCATTGTGGCGTATGTTCAACAGAATCTGACCTCGGTCCACTGGAGGAGACGTTTAAAGGGGGTTAGCCTGTCAGATGGGAGGGTCAACTGATGACCTCTAAGGTATCTTCCAACCCTAACAATTTTGCGTACTTGTTGGCATGAGGTTTGTGCATGCATCTCTGGGATTTGTCTGTCTATGGCAATGTGAGGGTGATACTCCCTCACTCTAATAAACTCGGCACTCACTACTCGAGCGTCTTCTCCTCGGACTGGAGCACCGAGCGAGGTTCTGAACGTGGAGTCCTGGACGCATCCAGGCTCCTTGGTTTAGGGGTCATTGGAAACCAAGATGGCACCTAGGTCATGGTGTCTGTCTGTCAACTCTTACTTTACGACTCCTGAGAATGTAGGTGGTTTTTCTGCTGATTCTGGCCTGAGAGGTTATAGAAGTGATTAGAAGAAATGGATGGGTGATAAAAACCCTATTCCAACTTTCCTTTTGACTGAAGCGTAAGTAGGCTAGTTTGGGTGGATTTGGAAATCCTCCTCGGACCATTCCCGAGTTTGTATTCTGACTTGAACTACGGTGAAGGGATCTTCTGAGCTGTTTCATCCTGGTTGTGAGAAGCGGGACAGTGTGATGGAAAGAGTCATAGGACCCAAGGCAGGAGACCCATAGGCCAGGGACCACACCGCCATGAGTCAGCCTGTCCATGTCTCAGTCTCCTTCGATGTAAATGCAAGCTCAGGCCAGGTAACTCCAAAGTGCTAGCCAACTCTGCAGCGTATGATTACCTGTCTCCGCGGAGATGCCTTTCTCAGCTGAAGAGCGCCATCCTTCTCGGGTAGAGCCCTCATACAGCAACAGGAGAGCCATCTTTTAAGCTGGGTCATTAGTCCTTTCCTGGACAGTCTACTCCTCTGCTTTATCTTTGGGAGGGCTCAAAACTAAAACCGCACCGCAGCTTTGTACAAAGGGAAGAACAACACGACAAACTTTGTCCCATGCCCAGTTAACGATGGCATGCCAGGATAGTATCACTTTTGATAATACGTGTTCTCTTTGGTCCATCCCCAAATGCGTTCGCTTGCTTACTTTTTAGAAAAGCGATCTCTATTGTAATTAAGATAAAGGCTATTAGTAATTTATCCTACACAGGTTAACACTTCTAAACCATCTAAAATGGGATGGTTTTAGAGAAGTTCTATTGAAGTTTTTCACTATTTTTATTTAAAAAAATTTTTGTTTTTCTTGATTTTAGAAAGAGAGAGGAAGGGAGAGAGAGATGGAAACATTGATGAGCGAGACCATCTGCCTCCTGCATGCCCCCCACTGGGGATGGGGCCCACAACCTGGTGACCAGGAATCAAACCAGTGACCTCTTTGTGCATGGGTCGACGCCCAACCACTGAGACACACTGACTGGGCTTCACTATTTTCTTAAAGCCACCTTTTTATTAACATATGGTATATTAATATGTATATGTTATATATAAACTAACAACTGGTTTTTCCTAACAGCAATAACAATAATTATAATCCAAATTATTTGTTCAAACCAGTATTTGAATACTGGCCATATGACTCCAGTATGCCATATGAGCAAATTTTTAGACACATTTTTCCAAAGAGGTAAAATATTAACTTCTGAATGATACACATGCAAAGTTTTTTTAGTTGAATGACTGCTTCTTTGCTTGAAGTTGCTAAGGCTTCCTGAGCACCTTTGAAGCTGACTTCTGAAAGACCACAGCCATCTTTAAGTGTTTAATATGTATTTGTTTAATTGGGTTATTCTCATCTCATCTGTGAAATTAAAAGACAGTAGGCTTCTACCTGTCTTTAGGCCAAAAAAAAAAAAACAAAAACAAAACAACAAGCTAACAAAACTTATATATGAGAGTCATCTCTCCTCAGTCGAATTACTAAATTTTCTATACGTTGGGTTTCACAAAATTGGGTCCAGTTTCCTTCCTTGATTTCCAGAATTTGATACAATTTATTCTTTAATTCTGAGTGGCATCATTGTCTGATACACACAGCCATTTCGTATGAGAGATTGTGCAAACAGCCATTAACCGGCACTTTTTGGCTAGAACTGCATCTGAGACCATTACAAACATACAGGGTTTTTAAACCAAACCATGCACAGGGGCGGTGTCTTCAGGAGACAACAGTCCTAATTCCTAGCCCCTTGGCTGAACTGTAACCAGCTTGCCCTGCAAAACCATAAAGCTGTCTGCTAAACTGTCCTGGAGCGCTGGACCGCAGCGAGGTCCCATCCCTCTGCTCCTCACGCTGCCCAGAGTCTTACCGAACACGACTGCTCTTGCGGTTATTCACGATGCTCTTACTAAGATCAGCCGACGTGTTAGTACCCGCAGGGCTCACGGGGAAGATGTGTTTGTTTCCCTTGATTCCTTTTCCCATCTCTTAAACAGCTTCCACATCCGTGGTGCAGACAACATGGATTTCAGTTCTGTGATGATGGATTTTTTTTAATTGGCCTTTGAGATAGAAGTTGTTTAAAAGTCTTTGAAAATCTAAAGAGATTCCAGCCAGCGGCCCCCTTCTTGCCCACACTTATTTATCCCCCTGACGGAATCTGATTTCCCTCTGGGCACCATGTGGGTCTACCCGGAATAGTCTGGGTGCTTTTATTTATTTATTTATTTATTTATTTATTTATTTATTGTAAAGGATTTTTTTTTTTCTTTATTGATCTTTAGAGAGAGAGGAAGGGAGAGAGAGATGGAAACATCAATGAGCGAGAACATCGATTGGCCGCCTCCTGCGTGCTCCCCACTGGGGATCAGGCCCACAGCCTGGGTACGTGCCCTGATCGGTAATCAAACCTGTGACCTCTTGGTGCATGGGTCGACGCTCAACCACTGAGCCACACTGGCCAGGCAGTCTGTGTGCTTTTAGGTGTTTGGTGGTGCTGCCCTCATTGCAGCCTCTGCTGGTGAATGAGACCAGGTTGGGAACCCGGGATTTCGGTAGAGTGGAGCTTTATGGACACTGCTCCTCACCCATCCGCCCGAGACGTGTCACGGAGCCTTGTGCGCGTGTGTTGGTGGTTTTCAGTCTGTGCATCCGTATCTCGGGCGGTGGTGGTTTGGCTCGGTCACTCACAGTTCACCTAACCTAAGAGCTGTCTGTTGTTCCGTCTAATCGTCTGACTCTGAATCAGGTGTGCAGCGGGGTCAAAGGTTACAGGTCAATGAGCTAAAGAGGAAGCGATGCCAAGCTCAGTCATGATTCAAACGCACCGCGACCCGTCTCTGTACTTAAAGAGTTTTTGACCCACCTCTTCCCACCCGCCCACTTGAAATCACAGTCACGGAGTAGACATTTCTCTAAGCCTCGGCCTGGAAAGAGATTCAGGCCAAACGTCCACTCGGTCTGCAGCGTTCCCGGGGACAACACACACAAGGCCGCGGTCACCAGGGAGATGCAGGGCGTGCGGGTGAGCAGACGTGTTGTCGACCCTTTCTGGGGGGCTGGTGAGTGGGGCAGACGTGGAGGACAGGAGCCGGGCTGGTGCGCACTGTGAATGTTTTCTGAGCTGGGGAGGGAGCTCCCAGGGAGTGACTGCGGACTCCTGCTGCCTGGTGGGTGAGTCACGGGCCTGAGGGCAGAGCCTGCTCCAGGGAGGGGCCCAGTCTGGCCCACAAAGTCCTCCGGAGCACCACTGAGCAGATAAATATTTTCCTGGCAGTTATCTGAGCATTTCGGAGAGGCAATTACCTCTGAACAATGCAGCTGGGAAGCCAGTGGAGTGGGAGTCGGGTCAGCTTACTGCAGAGGGAGCTGGACCACGGACCAAGGGGTTCCCAGACCCAGGGCAGAAAGAAGGCTCAGACTCCTCGGGAAAGGGTGGCTGAGGGGCACAGACCATGGGTACCCTGGTACAGTCCAAAAGTGGCGCAGGAGAGATTACCGCCATCACAAAAGCAGACAGTCTCGGGAGAAAAGGGAAATGCAGAAGTCGGCGGGACTCATCCAGCCAGTTCTAGAGGGTTTTCTTATTGACTCCAGCTTTGGTGGGGATGAGAACTGCATCCCCCGTTGGAGGCAACAGAACCCTCCAGGCGCTTGTTTGCAGCACCCACGCCTCTCCCAGTGGAGCTGGGAAGGGGCATGGTTTGCCTAATGTCACACAGCCAGCTAGTTACAGACAGGCTGGTGTTCACCTGTGGGATTGAGGCGGGTGACCTGCTGAGTTTGTTGAAGGTGACTTGCCACACATTGTGAAGGTTGAGTCAACACAACATGGATAGGCAGATTGTCTTTGAGAGCGTGGGAGGAGCAGGTGGCGAGGCCTGTGGAATTGTTAATAAGCAGGTTTTGGAGGTAGAATTGAGCTTGGCCAGGCAACCAACCAGAAACAAAGATAAGGCGTGGTTTGGCCTCGAAGAACTGGGGAGGCTCAGGAGCGTGTGCGCGTGCACGTGTGTGTGCACGTGTGTGTGCACGTGTGTGAGCACGTGCCTGCCCGCGCGTGGGAAGAGGTGGCTGTTTAGCTTCCGGGCTGGAGAGGACGAGGGCATCTTTACTGGAAGGTGGAATTTACGCAGAGACGGGGCTTCCTCCCGGAAATAGAGCGGTGCAGGCATTAACAAATACAAGGGGGGAAGAGGAATTTTCCAGTTGAAAATCAAGGAAAATGGATGTATAAGGTTTTTTTTTTTTCTTTATTGAATTTTTTTAGGGAGAGAGAGAGATAAAAACATCAATGAGAAAGGACATCGAATGATCAAATGGCTGCCTCCTGCATGCCCCCTAGTGGGGATCGGGTCCACACCTGGGCAAATGCCCTGACCGGGAATCGAACCAGCGACCTCCTGGTGCATGGGTCCACGCTCAAGCACTGAGCCACATCGGCTGGGCTCTGTAAGGTATTTTTTAAAAATGTTGACAGTAGTTCTTTAAATTGGTTCCGGGGACCGTTTTTCGTGCACCGGGTATAAAAACGCACTCAATTTCACCAAGTGGAATCCTTCATTGTTATCGGAAGTAAGAGAAAAGTCCAACCAAAATGAATAATGGGCAAGAAGGTCTAACAAAGAACTGGGCCAAATGAGCTACGTGGGAACCGAAGGGGTCCCCTGTTCCCGGCAGGCTCCAGGGGTGCGATCGGGCGAGGGTGCCCGGCTGGGAGGACACAGTGTACAGAACTCAGCGAAGGGTCAGCTGGAGCACGACGGGGCGAAAGGCACGGGAAAGGCCTTCCATTCCCACAGATGACACGATGGCAGGAGGGATGGACCTGGGGCGGGCAGACCGGTGATGAGGCCCACAGGCAGAGTGGGGACAGCTAGTGCACACGCAGAAGCCGTAGCGCGGAGGCAGACACCGACACCTGTAGCCTGCCTCCGTGTGGAAGACTCTCCTAGGTGCCTGGGCTCCGGAGTCCATCTGACCTGCTCTCCTCCCCACCCACACAATCAGTTCTGCTGATTTCTTCATGGCCCCCCGAGATTGCGTCCCTCTGTTCCCCTCCACTGTGCCCATCTCCACGGCTCACTCCTGGGCACTGGGGACTTCCCAAGGGCACACCTCCTCCCCTCCTCCCCTGCCATCGTTCTGGAGGGCACGCTCCAGCGTCTCAATTTCTCTGCTCTTGACCCCTCTCATCCACCAGGTGGGAAGACTGGTCACAGCTGACCCGTCAGCCGTCCAGCCCCCTCCATCTGCCTCCTTCCTTTCTGCTGCCCCTCCGTCCACTCCACTTCCCTTCCGGCCTGTTCTTCTCGTACATCCAGCTCCCCGTCCGGCTCTGGAGCAGGGGCTGCTGCTCCCTTCACCACGGTTCCCTCCCCCTCTCCTGCCTCCCCACACTGTCCCTGCCTCCTCCCCATCACTCTGAACAGGGCTGCGTGCGGCTCATTGAAGCACAGACCTGGGGTCTGGAGGGTTCTAGGTCTAGCCGAGATCGCCACCCCCACCCCCTCTTCTGACCTCCTTCATCATCTCCCTCTAAAACCACCAAAGGACACTGCGTCTTCCTGTCGGCATCTCCTGACCAGTATTTGTTTCTTCTGCAACTTCAGCCGAATACCTAAACCTCTCTGAGCCCCGTGAATGGTACCTGATCAGAAAACACGAATAAAGAATACCTTGCGGGGTTGCTGGGAAGCGAAATGACCTAGAAAGAGCTACACGCACAGGAAATGCTAACTGATGATTAGCATCATTATGAGTGTTTTATCTGAGGATCAGTTTCTGGGTAAACTATTTCAGTTCCCGCTACCGTCTCGTAAAACACGCGAACACAGAGCTCCGGCTGTCATAGCAGCCATTCCCCTAGGACGGCTCTTCCCATCTGTCCAACGACACGATGGCATCCAGGGAGCAGGACTCCCTCCGCTGGCCGCACCTGCACCAGGTGATGTGGAAAATGAACTCGAAAGACTTCCATCCTGACTGGGCTCACGCATTCTTAGGAAATCAGTTAAACCTCCGTGTCCCCCTCTGTAACCGGGGGTAATTCTATCTAATTTGCACAATTACTTGTCCGCCTGCTGACCCAGTGGGGTTTTGCTCCTGGACCCCCACCCAGCGCTCTCCACGGCACTCGGGGGGGGGGCGGGGTGCTGCTCCCCATCAGGGCTGGCACCCCTTTCCTTCCGCCCCCTTCTCCTCGCCTCAGCTGGTGTTTCCGTGGGTCTCTCCTGAGACCACGTTTCTTCATGCTCCAGGCCCTGCCCGAGCAATCGGTGTCGTCTCTTGACCTTCCCCACAGACCCTGCTTCTAGTCCTCGCTAGACGTGTCCACACGGACCCACAGGACCTCCAGCTAGACGTGTCCACACGGACCCACAGGACCTCCAGCCTCAACATTCACAAAGCAGCTCCCTTCCCCCCACGTGCCCCACCCCCACACCCCCTTCCTTGATTCACAGCATTTCTCGGTGGCTGAAGTGTTCGTCCTCTTTTCTCTCTCCCGTTCCTTCCAACTAACTTCCTGCCCTTCTCCGTGATTCTGAATCCCAGTGTTTCTCCAATCTGCTCTCCTCTCTCCCCATCACCTCTCGCTTCGACGCTTCAGTAGCCTGTCTTGTTTCCCAGCCCCCCACTCTGAGCCTCCCACCGGATTTCCCATCTGTCTTTCTCAACCAGATTTGAGCAAGTCATGCCCACGCGTCAAACCCGCACGTGTCAAGTCTTCCACCACGGCCTCCCCACTGGCCTCTGCGGATCCAGCCGCCGGACTTCTCCGTCGCATCTTTGCCGTGTCGGTGGCCTTCCGCTCCCTGGACCCTCTGCCTGAGACACCTTTCCTCCCTGCTCTGCTGTGCGGTCACTTCTTCCAGGGGAAGCCTTGCCTGGGACGCCAAAGCTTCTCAGCCCAGCAGACCCCCCTTCGGGGCTTGTCCTGGGGCTGACTCCGCACCGCACTGCCCTCCCGCAGTGCACCTGGGTGGCCGGACTCCTAACCAGACCGTCAGGCCCTGCAGGCTGGGAGGGCATTTTCCTGATCTGCGTTCACCCAGGACCCGAGGATCCCCGCTGCATGCCGGAATGAGCAGCTGCCTTTATTTCTGAGGACTGTGCGAAATAACTCAAACGAGAGGGTATTTTTGAAAGAACAGTAAACACTAAACCACAAATACAAGAACCATGTGTCTCCCTCTGGACTGACATCACACCACTTCTGGGTGGATGAAAACGATGTACTTCCCCGACATCAGACTTCCATTCAATGCGTCCAGACCGGGTAGGACTTGGAGTGGCATCGACAGAGACCAGCTTGTCTTTGGCAGCCTGTTCTTCTGTGATCTGATTATGCCAAGGATATTAAAATAGGCATTTAAAAGTAAATTTTAACGGGCTCTCAGAAATATATAAGCAACTAATATTTTACAAATTTAGCTCACAGGAATAGAAAAGGCGATAGGAATCTGTTCGATGGTAGAGCATTTTTTTAGACGAGGGTGGACCCTGAATGGAGGGTTTGACGGGGGCGTCCTCTATGAACTGGGTTCACACCCAGACCCCAGCGCTGCTCAGGAGGCCGAACCGCAGAAAGCCGACTGAGATGCAGAGGCCGACTCCTGCACAACCTGTTTGAACCGAGACGCTATACCAGACGTAGCGGGAATAAAAATACAGGACACACAATGTTGTAGAAAACGTGCTTTTACTAAAAAAAAAAAAAAAATGGTTTGTTTTTCTGCAACTCAAATGTAACTGGACATCCTGTATTTTATCTGGCAAACCAAGCTACAATCCAAAGTACTTTAATATCTTTGACTCTGGTGTTAGTGGCTCTTGGGCTTCTGGGAGAGTTCACGTGGGCTTTCTTTCCGTAAACTAGCGATGTGCAGGTTCTAAAACATGTGATGCCCGACAAGGGCACTGGCTTCTGTTTCCTTAGATGGTCAAGGAAAAAAAAAAAAAAAGCAGCCAACACAATAGCCATTTAATCAAAACGATGCCCTTTTTTATTTTTATTTTGGTCAAATGGCACAAAGTATGTTTTCTGGTGTGCCACAGAATTTTAGTGATTGGTTTGTGTGCGCCACGGAATGAAAAAGGTTGAACATCCCAGCTGTCAACAACCCCAGAAAAGGCCCCAGTGAGCCTGGTGGTAGATCGCCATCTAGTGGAACCATTGTGATAGTGAAAGCTTAAACTAGAGCAGGGAGACCTTTCTTCTGGAGTCTGCAAGGCCAGATTCCGCTCTGGTCAATTGCAAAGCCCGAGTTTGCACTGTTGAGAGGGTGATGATATCAAGAGGATGTGAATTTTCCAATAATCAAGACATTAGGAGGTCCCGAATGGCACCCCGTCCCCGATGTACAGGGGGCACCGTGGGACTCTCAGATGCGGGGTGCTAAATAGGTATCAGAGCATCTTCCTCTTGGTGCCTCTGCCCCTCATTCCTCCACCTCCACCTCCACAAGCAGCTTTGGGATTGGCTCGGTTTGCGTTTGGGAACAGAACGTGGTTTAATGGCAAGACTGAAGACAAGGCTCCAGTTTCTTCTCCAGCAGGAGAGACGGGCCAGGGAGGACGTCAGGCTCCCGGTGACCATGCCCGGTGGAGCCCTCGCCTGGGACCCTCGGGACCACGGCCCACAACTGGGCAGCTCGGGGCAGGCAGCGAAGGAAATGGAGTTCTTAATAGCGTGCATGGGGAGACAGGTCGTCACGGCCAGAAACCAGGAGCAGACTAGTTTATTGCTTGCAATGCACACTCGGGCTCGTTTCTCTAGCAAGGAAACAACACAAACAGGCAGCATCCCCCAATGAGCCAGGCCGGCCAGCTCCCTCAGGACCGGCCACTGCAGCGGCGTGGAGAAACGGCAGGGCAGCCCCTGGCTTCTCCCCCCACACCCAGCCAGAGAGCCCGTGGGAGTGTCCCACTTCCACCCCAGTCCCCAGTCTCTCCCATTGCTTCAACCACCACCTCCACGGCACTCCCACCAAGCAGCCTTGGTCACGCCGTGGCCCGTGGCTAGGGGCCGTGGCTGTCCTTGTCCTCCGCTCGGACCTCCTCAGGTACTGGCAGCTGTGTCACCGCAGCCGTGGGCTGCCCCTCGGGGGCTGTGCTGAGCGAGGGCCTGGCCCCCGCTTGGGCCCCGTCAGGCAGCTGGCCGGGCCCTGGAGAAAGCTGCCTGCTCACGGGCTGAGCATAGGGGGCCGGAAACAGGTCGGGAAAGTAGCCCTCCCCTCCTGGGGGGTACCCCGGAGCTTGTGGAACGAAGGGACCAGCGAAGGGCAGTTCTGCCCAGCAAGGGTCATTCCAGGGCGCTGTGCCTGCGGGTCAGAGAACAGGGAAAGGTTGGATGAGACCGAGGGCATCGGCCACAGTTCAACGTGAGCGGTGACAGCCGCCTCACAGAGGGGGCCTCAGGGAAGTCCAGGTGACACACTAACTCCAGGAGTTTCCCTCAGGACCAGGCAGCTCCTGGTTTGGCGTCCTGAGCTTTGGTAAGTGACACGGGACTGGGGCTCAGGTCACGGACCCTGTCACGCAGGAAGAAAAAGAGACCAGGAGGCAGCTGGCCACGCCTTTGCCCTCCTCCTAGACTTTACTCAGAGTAAGCCAGCTGCGTCCAGGCCTTTCTGAGGTCAGCGGCCACCTACTCGGTGCCCAGGAGGTCCCTCGTGTGTCTGATCTGTGTGCCTGTGTGACATGGGAGGCGTATTCCCACTCGAGTCCAGGAGACAGGCCCAGGGCGTTGGGAACTGAGCTGGACCTCAGACTCGGCTGTTCCTCAGTCCAGGGTCCCCGGCTGACTGTGTCCTGCAGCCTCTGAGGAGCTCGGGGCCAAGGACAGGGTCCCGCACAGGCGCCCTGCGCCAGCCCTCCCTGTGGTCCGAGGCCCTCTGTCCACTCGCACCTTCCGCGGTCACCAAGGGCACCTGTCCCCCAGCCCCTACTCACCCAGGTCCCCAGCAGGCGGCCGCAGCAGGCTGGCAGCCGGGGGCTCCGGGAAGTAGCCCTGCGAGGTGCCCGCACTGGGGCCGAAGGGCAGCGGGAAGAACGCATCTTCTGGCAGCGGGAGTGTCAGCGCGCCCGGCGTGGGGAAGGACAAGGGGGGCAGGTATGGAGCCGGGGGCTGCGGGGGCTGGAAAAGCGGGGTCTGGGCGGCCTGGGAGACCTGAAACAGCCCTGGCTGGTTGCTCAGGGGGTAGTCCTGGGGGTCCAGCTCCTCCAGGTATGAGCAGGTGGGGGGTGGTGTCAGACTGTGGGGACAGGGGAGCATCTGTGAGGATCAGGGCGGATCCTCACTCCCGCCACAGAGGGGCGCCTTCCCCCACCTCCATGACCCCAGACTTGCCTCCCCTCCTCCTGCTCCTGGCTTCTCGCCCTCACGCCGGCTGTGAGACCCTAGATCTGTCCACCCGGGGCCACTCAGCCGTTCCGCCTCTCCACAGGTCCCCTCCGGGGTCCTCTCAGCTAACCCAACCCTCCCAAGCTCCTGTCTGTGCTCCGGAGCCCTCCCAAGACAGCCCCGGTGCCTGCTCTCCGAGGCTCCGTACCTCGTCCCCCAGGACGCACAGGGCTCATCTTTGTGACTGTCGCTGCCCAGGGCGTCCATCAGCAGAGGCATCAGCTGGGAGGTGTGGACAGGGCCGAGGGGGAAGGGGAGGCTGGCTCTTTGAATAGGTGGGGGGCTGAAGAGGGGTGGGGTCCCCGCCACCAGCTGAGCACCCTCACTCTGCTGGGTTGGGGCCAGAGTCTGGTCAGATGTCAGAAGCATGGGGGGCTCTAGGAACAGAAGGCGAAGAGGGTGGTGGTCGGGGGAGAGCACGGGGCAGGTCGGGGTGCTGGGCGGTAGGCGCCTGCAGTGCCAGGGCCCCCCGAATGGACTGGACCAGAGCAGTGCAGAGCTTGGGGCCAGTCCCATGTCTGTCAAGAAAGACCCTTTGTCTTCACTGACTTCCCGTCACTGCCCCCGGACAGCCCTCAGGAGGGGTCAGCTCACCGGGAAGGGCGTCCAGAGGGGGCTCCTGAGGGAAGGTGCCCGGCTCGGGGTCCAGGGGCACTGTGGACGGCAGCTCGGGCGCGGAGCTGGAGGGAGCAGACAGAATGAAGGTTGCTCTGCCAGCGGGCCCGGTAAGGGACACCGAGTCCCACACTCTGCCTCCCTCCAAGGCACTGGCTGCTCCCCAGCCCCGCAGCCGGAGCCCAGGTCCCAGCTGGGACCCACTTGTACCTCTGGGGACGACCGGCCCAGGAGGGACTCACCTGCACTGGCTGTGGGTGGGGGCGGGGCCCGCAGGGCTGTCCTTGTCCTTCTTCCCATTCAGCTTCTCCACTTTCCGCCACTTGGCCCGGCGGTTCTGGAACCACACCTGTGCGCAGAGACACTAAGGAGCTGAGACAGGGCAGAGACTAAGGCTCGGGTCCTGACTGGCTCGCGAGGAGCTCCACCAGCAGCTCGGGCCCACGCGGCCTCAGGAAGGTTCCCGGGGAGGCTGTCCCAGGGTTCCCAGGCGGGGCACGTGGGGACAGCAAGAACAGAGCCCCAGCGCGGGTAAGCTCAGCCCCGCTCTGCAGAGGTCCATTCGGGGGTCCTCCCCCCTCCCGCTGGCCAGCCCCCTGTACCATGATGCGCTGGGGGGTGACCCCCACTGTCTGGGCGATCTCCCGGCGCTTATCGCTGTCAGGGTAGTGGTCCGCTTCGAATAGCCTCTCCAGCTCCTCCAGCTGGTCTGGGAGGAGGAGACATGCACACGAAGACAGAACGGGTTGTGGCCGGGAAGGAGAAAGACAGGTGCCTTCCAGATGGGCCCACCGTCCCCCGCCCAACGGCCTTGCCAGAGCCTTGCAACCAAGTTTCCCACCGGGCTGGGGCCTTCTCCTTCTTGGGCTCTGTGGGTGGGCACTGACCCTCCCAACCTGTTTCCAATCTCACTTTCTGATAAGGCTGCCTGACCTTCCCCTCCAGAGGCCTGGCCCCGCCGCAGGTCCGGGAGGTTGTCCCGGACAAGGGGACCTGCACGCCAACCACACCCCGGTCTCCGGGCCTACATTCTCCGTGTGCACCAGATCTAAGGTTTCCTCACCTTCGGGGACTCACCTGAGCGGTACAGGGTTCGAGTCTTTTTCCGAATCTGGCAGGTCACTTCTAAGGGCCTCTTCTGGTCTGTGTTTTGACTGTTCTGGGCCAATGTGCTGAGGAGGTTGGCCAGATGGCAGGGCCCCCGGCCTGACCCGCAGGGCACGGGGTTGTGTGTGGCGTGGGCTGAGTTAGTGCCATGGGGGGATGATGAAGAAGCTGGCCCCACGGCAACAGACTTCTTCTGCTTCCCCAGGCCTGGGGAGAAGGACCTTTTCCCTGCCTTGGCCTCTCTCCTGGGGAGGGGACACCCTTCTCCCTGAGGCCGGGGTCGAGGAGGGACCAGAGTTCTGTCTTTGTGGGGAGCCTCCGAGCGGGGTGGCTGGTGCTCACCCCCAGCATCAGGGGCCTCCGGTGGCTTCTTCTCCCCAGAGACAGAGCAGGAGCGAGGCGGCTCTCCACCTGGGACATCCCGAGTGTCGGGGGCGGGACTCTGCGGCTGTCCTTCCTTCTCCGACCCAGCAGCCCGGGGCTTGTCTCCACCGTCCTGGCCTGCAGGGAGCCAGCACCCATGAGCTCAGCACCAGGGAGAAGGAGTCTGGACTCAGGAGTTTGCTGCTTCCTGCCCTGTAGCTGGTTCCCCTTTGATTGATTTTTTTATCTTCACCCGAGGACATTTTTTGTTCAGGTAGAGTGGGAGGGAGAGAGAGGAACAGAGAGAGAAACATCGATGTGAAAGGGACACATCGAGTGGCTGCCACCCGCACGACGGACCAGGGCCGGGGACAAACTGCAACCGAGGTACATGCCCTTAGCGGGAACCGAACCCGAGTCTCTCGGGACCTCAGGCTGATGCTCTAACTGCTGAGCCAAACCAGCCAGGGCTGGTTTCCCTTTGAATGTCAGCTTTCATTTGTCCCCAGAGAAGGGGGTCACAACCCCAGGCAGACCTTCCTAGCCCAGCTACTGAAGGATCCAATTAGACAGGCCACCTGCTGTGAGAAATGCTAGCAAACCTTCGCCACTCTGAGGGGGCCTGGGCTCATACGCACACATGGTAGAAGGGAGACACACTTCCTGTGAGTTCCCTGCTATTTTCCCTGATGCCTGATGGGAGTTAGAAGGACAGGCATCTGCTCAGGCATGTATTTATTTATTTTTTTTTATCCTCACCCAAGGGCATTTTTGCATTTATCTTCAGATAAAGCGGGAGGGAGAGAGGGAGGAATAAAGAGAGAGAGAAACATCGACTTAAAAGAGACACGTTGACTGGTTGCCACCCGCACGACCCCATCCGGGGCTAGGGACAAACTGCAACCGAGGTACGTGCCCTTAGCGGGAACCGAACCCGGGACTCTCCGGTCCGCAGGAGCATGCTCTAACCACTGAGCCAAACTAGCCAGGGCTGTTCAGGTATTTCTAAGGGACAGATGTTGGGGTAGACTGGGCGGAGAGCGCGATGCATTCTGCTTCTTCTAAGGTGGGCTTTTGTTGCTGCTGTGGATACAGGCATTATGGCTTAACGTAGGGACCGGGAGGCACTGGGTGGCCTTCGAAGCCCAGGCAAGGACACGAGAGGAGCTGACAGGAACGACCCCCTCACCTTCCACTCTGCCCTCGCCAGCCCTCCTCACGTCCATACGCATCCCTGCTCCTTCCCTGGAAAGCGGAGCCTCACACGGGGGACTGAGGCCCAGGCCGCCCTCCTTATCACCAGGGAGGAAGGTGCCAGGTGACACTGAGTCGCTCTCACCCACCCTCCCAGCCTGCCTGCCGGTCTCTGAGCTGCAGCTGGTCCGTCAGGTGCTCACCACGGTCCAGGCAGTGTGCTGAGCACCTTTAACCCCGTGAGGAAGGCACTGCTCACCCTCCAGCAGGGACAGGGACAGGGGCCAGGGCCGCCAAGCCCTACCGGCCACCCCCCCACTCACCCAGAACCCCCAGAATCCTCAGCTAGAGGGGCCGCTTCCACAGAAATGATAGTATCTTTAAATGAATACTAACTGGTGACTTGCTACTGTTATTTTAATGCAATCCCATGAGATACACATCTTGGAATGACTTTTCCAGAGTGTGTAGGGACACCGACTGCCACGGGCTAAGGTGCTTTGTCAATGTGCGCTCAGTGCGCGTGAGGCCTGAGCCGCAGGCGGGCCTGAAGCCGGGGGTGCAGGGTGTCCAGGCCTCTGCGGGGCAGGGCCCGGCGGGTGGTGGCCGGGGAGGCAGAGCGGGTACCTAGCGAACCTAGTGCGCAGGAGGCGCTCAGCAAGTGTGCGTACGCAAGGGACGCACCCTGAGAAAGGGGACCCTGCTGGAACCTGGACTGGAAGAGACCTGGGACTCCAGCCCTGAGTTCGCTCCCGCGCCGAGAGAGAGACGGGGACCCACTGCAGGCGGGCGCCCTGTGGGGGCCGCTCTGGCACCCCGGCCCCTTGGCCTACCCACATCCTGAGCCTCCTAAAGCAAGTGGTGCGGCGGGGGCCCCAGCCCGCCCCGCGCGCCCCGGCTCACCCCGTGGTTGCTGGCGGGGCTCCCGGGCGGGATCCATGGCCTGGACGCTGCGGCGGGGCCGGCGGGCTGCACAGGCGCGGCCTAATGAAGCCTCGCGGGCGGACAGGTGTGCGGAGCCCGCACGGGCGCGGGGGAGCCCGAGCCTGCGCCCCTCAGTCCGCCCGGAGAGCCCATCCGGGATCGTGGCGCGTGGGGCAGCTGCCGGGCTGAGAGGGCCCGCGGGGTGGGGGTGGGGTGGGGGTCGGCAGCGCCGCCCAGGGCGCCCAGGTGCGGGCTCCTGTGGGCTGCCCTCCCTCGGGGATTTAGAGCTCCGCACGGGGGCCAGGGGCGCGGGCGGGCTGGAGCCGGCTGCTGGGGTGGCGAGGCTGCCCTCCGAGGTCTGGGGACAGGCCTGGTAATGGACTTGGTCGTGGCTAAAGTCTTGGCCACAGAGAGCCCTTCCCCGTGAACTGCGGACGGCGACCTGTGGAGCTACTTAGCAGGGGAGCCCCAAACAGGGTTGCCTGTCTCCAGTTTCTGCGAGGCTCAGGATTAATGAGCCCGGACACCGTGGCCCACGGCTGCCCTCGGGTGAGGACGAACAAGCAAGACGTGCCCCTGCCACAAGTAAGCGGCTGGTGGCCCTGCCACTTCTCACAGTGGGCACCTGTGGGAAACCCGGGGACGGCGCTGGGCAGTCAGGCCTCCTCCTCAGCGTCCGCCCGGTTGACATCAGTTCTAACCTTGGAAGGAAGGGGAGACCTCACGGGGGTGATCTATGATTCCCCCTTCATGGAATGTTTCTTGCCTTGTTCATAAATAATTTCAGGTTTAAAGTTCTGATTGCCTTTCGCTGCACCTGCCCGAGAGGGGAGGCGCTGGCCAGGCTGGACAGGTGCTGGGAGCCCGGGAGTGGGAGGCCCGCCGGAAGGCAGGTGTTTTGCTTTTAGCTTTTAAAAGTCTCTGGACAGCGGCTGTTTGGATGCTATAATCACCTGTTGGTACACTTTCCCGAGCCTTCAATTCCCTTGAGGGGCTCGGCCTGTGTGTGGACTTTGGGCAGAGTTGCGAGAGCTTTAGTTCTTCCTGAAACAGAAACTTTAAACATATTAACTTTGTGGCAATATAGTCAGAACTTCCGGCATCTGATGTTTCCTCCTGACCCCCGTCAGCTCCTCCGGGGTTAACGAGGGGCTCAGAAACCGAGTTCTCAGAAAGGAAGGGTTCTTGGCCACCTGAGCAAGGAGTGGCCTAGAACTTTCTTTGTGAAAAACCAGGACCGTTTGGCGGGGACATGGTTGTAGACGGAACACTAAACATGTATAGAACACCTGCTGCATGCCGAGCTCTGTGCCCAGGGCAGCTCCGTGCCTGCAGAAGCTTGCTGGTGGAGACGAGGTTAGAAATGTGACAGGTAAGTGGACCGGGGGAAGACAGCGTGGTCAGCAGAGTTAGAAGTTAGGGCCTAAGGAGCACGGAGGAGCGGGAAGCTCTGTGCACCAGGACCAGAGGCCAGGGGAACAGGGGAGTCCTTGGAGGGGATGACATACGAGCACGAGCTGAAGGCTAAAAGGACGGCCAGGTTACATGCCAAGCTCGGCGTCTCAGCCCTACTTCAAAGCCACGAGATCTCCGCACGCGGGATGGGAGCCTGCCAAGGCCTGGCCCCTTCTCTGACCTAGTGTGTCTCCACGAGTGTTCCTAGACCTCCCTGGATAGCAGTTCTTAGGGAATTTGTTTAAAATGTGGCTCGCAGGCCCCATTCCCAGAAATGTTAATTGGCAGGTCCAGAGAGGAGCCCAGAAGGGGCCAGTGTAACAAGCCCCTCAGGTGATTTTTATTGATGTTAGAGTTTGAGATACTCGTAGGCCTTTCAAAAACCAAGTCGATTAAAACCAGCCTGGGGCCCTGGCCGGTTTGGCTCAGCGGTTAGAGTGTCGGCCTGCGGTCTGGAGAGACCCGGGTTCGGTTCCCGCTAAGGGCATGTACCTCGGTTGCAGTTTGTCCCCGGCCCTGGTTGGGTCGTGTGGGTGGCAACCACTCGATGTGTCCCTTTCACATCGATGTTTCCCTCTCTCTCTCTTCCTCTCTCTCCCTCCCACTCTGTCTGTACGAAAAATGGAAAAATGTCCTCGGATGAGGATTAAAAAATAAAAATAAAATAAAACCAGCCTGGGGCCCTGGCCGGTTTGGCTCAGCATTTACAGCATCGGCCCACGGACCAGAGAGACCTGAGTTCAGTTCCCACTAAAGGCATGTACCTCAGTTGCAGTTTGTCCCCGGCCCCAACCAGGGCCGTGCGGGTGGCAACCAGTCGATGTGTCTCTCTCTCTTCCTCCCTCTCTCCCTCCCTCTCTATCTGAAGATAGATGCAAAAATGTCCTCGGGTGAGGATAAAAAACAAAAAACAAACAAGCAAACAGCCTGGGGATGGGAGGTGGGGCGTGGATGGTGGGGGCCTGTGTCCAGGAAGGAGATGACCTTTGTCCTTCACTGAGGTGTCTGCTGCAGTGAACAGGGCCCAATTAATTTCCTACCGCATTCGGTTAAGAATGAATCACTCTTTTCTGCCATCATTTATGTTGTATTTCCACTCACTGTCTGGTTGGCCTCTGCCTGGGGGAAGTCAGAAAAGCAGACTCGAGTCACCCACAGACTGGACGCCACCCTCACCGAAAAACACAGGGTCTAATTGTGTAAAGGGCATTCCTCTGGGGCTCAGGGCAGAAATAAGTGAACTTATTGGGCTTGGGCTATGATAGTGAAAAATTCAAGTTGTCTTTCTCTTGATAGTGCTGGCTGGCTGTTGTGTGACTTTAAAAACATTAAAAAAAACTAATGATCTAGTTTTGTTTAAATGCAAGTTTGATGCAATGGCTACCAGTGAACTTGGCCGAAGGAGGCTTGGGAGAACGTGTGTTTTGGGAAGGGGTTGTAAGTGTGATCTGTGCTGCTAAAGGTCATCTTCCAGAGGTCCCCTTCCAGGGACAGGTCGGGAAGGGAGACAGCCGGGTATGGGAGGATCAGAAGGTGTCATTTTGGGGTCCTTGGGAATGTTTGTTTCGTTTGGTTACATTTCATCTTCATGATCTTCAGACAAGTTCATATGCCCAACCTTGTTTACAGGGGAGGGTTTTAACATTTTTACTTTTGGGGTTTCTTAGTTTTCAGAGCCAAGCTGGACACCACACTAACCCCCCTCTCAGCAAGAGCCGGTCCAATATTGTTTTTTTCCCTCGCGGATACGAGAAGAACAAAACCAACGGTCACACGTCTGACGCCACCGCAGAGTAACACTGTCTTCCATCCGTGGAGAGTGACCACGTAATCAGGCGAAGGCAGTGAAACAGGCCTTCTCTGCCCTTCCCCCTTTCTTCCCACAATGAGCCAAACAACCCGAAGAAGGCGGCTGATTGAGAAAAATGTCAAAGCTGACACACAAGGTCATTTGCTCTTGCCACGCCCAGGTGTAGGTGGTGACAGGTCACTGGAACTACGTGCCTGGGCCCGGAGAGGCAAGAATCTGGTTGTGAAAGTCGGGGCAGAAACCTGAGCAGGCCCTGGGCAGGGACATCAGGGTCACAGCCAACGGGAGAGAGAGGTGAGGGCTCCCGGGAGCCACCAGGACGAGCACCTGGGAGGCAGGGGCGGGTGGAGGGAGCCGGAGGCGGCCTGTGCTCGGGGACCGGGACATCCTGAGCCTGAAGAAGCAAAGGCCAGATGATCAGATAAACACCCGAGGGCTCACTCACCGGGAGAGACTCCCGGAACTGCCTTCCTTGGGTACTTCCTAGAAGGGGATGGTGTGCGGTTGCCGGCGAAGGGCACCGGGAACACCTGGCGAATGTGGAAACTGGCAGAGAGAACACAGGTTGTGGCATGACTCAGCCCAGTAACTTCTGATCCTGTGGCCCACACAGGTCCGTGCTTCTAAGAAGAACAGTGGCCACGTTGGAGACACGGTTGCTGCTGCTGTTGGTTTTCATCACACTGGAGAAGTAACCTTTGCTTGTGTTTCCTGACTTAGAAAGTTCCTCCCCCTCCCCCGTCCTCCTCCCCGCCTCATGCGCTTGTGTTTGGGAGGCGTCTTCTGTCTCTCTGCTCTAGTCCTCTCCGGACAGAAGCCACAGTGCTCCTGACAGGGGGGCTCTCAGGACCCCCTCGAAGCCTGGGGCTTCATCTGGGGCTGCGTCCCCTCCTGCCCTTCGTTTTGACCTTGCAGTCCGATCCCTGGCTCCAAGAATGACTTGCCTCCGTGGCCTCGTGCCTCGGGCCCTGATCTCCTGTTTTATCTGCATGAAACATCTTCCCCTTCCTTTGATTTTCGTCAAGGTCTTACTCAGGCTTAAAGCCCCACCCAAATATCCCCTTTCCTGTGACGCTGTCTCAGCCTTCCACAGCAGGACAGGGCTTCCTCCCACACCCTCCGTCCCGCACTGTGGACACTGGTGGCCTGGCCCAGCGGGGGCCACAGGACCAGGCTCCCTGCCCCCTGCCTTCCCAGGTGGCCTCCTCCTGGTCTGCAGCCCAGCACTGTCTTCTTGCCTTGCAAACAGCAGCTCACTGACGCCTCAGCACAACCCCAGGAGCGTCCATTAGCCTTTTTAAAATATTGTTATTATTGTTATTATTATTATTTATCCTCACCCGAGGACATTTTTGCATTTATCTTCAGATAGAGCGGAAGGGAGAGAGGGTTACCACCCACCCGACCCCAACCAGGGCCGGGGACAAACTGCAACCGAGGTACATGCCCTTGGCGGAAACCGAACCCGGCACTCTCTGGTCTACGGGCCGACGCTCTAACCGCTGAGCCAGACCGGCCAGGGCCATTAGCCAGTTTTGTTGAAGAAACCAGGGTAGAGAGCTCTGGTACCTCACACAGGTCACACAGCCGGGAAGGGGCGCACCCAACATCCGAACCCAGTTAGTCTAGTTCCCGCCCTTACTCCCAACCACAAGGCCACACTGTCGATTTGATTTATATCGGTCACCACCCTGCAGTGCTTGGCACCATGATCTGCACATGGGGGCCCATGACTGTTCATTGCCCAAAGTTGATGCCCATTGCCAGGAGTTACGGAGCAGGGTTGGGAGGTGGCTGTAGCTGCACCAGGGGACACGTGACAGAACTTTTCCAAAGCAGGACTGGGGTCACAGGAGACCGACTTGCACAGGACTAACTATGTCCACATACACGCAACGGGAGAGTAATTCAGCTACATAACAAACCTGCTATTATCTCCAAATCAGAAGGTCTGGCCACGTGTTCGGTTCTCCTCAACGGGGCTCAATTTCACTCACAGGGATATTTTCTTGTACAGTAGCATGACTGCCCTTTTGCTAACAGTTGTTAAAACATTTAGATTGAAATCGTATCTGTTCCTCTCACTGGGCGGTAGGAAGGCAAGCAGAGACATTTGTATCTCATTTGGTTTCAGAGTAAAACAATCACCATGTCTCTGATGATAAGAAGGCAGATTTACTAGGAAATCCTGGGTCAATACAGAATGGTTAGAGAAGGAAGGAAATGCAATTCCCCATCAGACAGCGTCAGTTAGGAGGGCCCCCGGGGGGTGCGGCCGTGGCTGGGTTTATACTTGTTTCGCATCGTGGTAACGGTGCTCACTTGGAGCACTTGGAGGATTTCTCCCTCGAATAAGCTGTGGAAACATTTTGGGCTTCAGGACGTCCCGAGTGGTCGTGCTGTGATTTGTTCTCCACCTGCTGGAAAAACGGACAGCTCTGCATCTTCCCAAATCAAAAAGCAGATTTGAAGTAGAGCTTCTCTGTTCTTCTCTCTTACAGACTTTTTTGTTTTTACTCTTTCACCCTTGGTGACGGATCCTGGTTGACGCTATTTGACGGTCTCCAACGTCTGAGCAGCCGTGAAGCTGTTCATGGCACAGAAGTAGACGGGCAGCCGGCTGGCAAGGGTCTGGGTCGCACCCTTGGCCGGCAGGGCAGCTTTGAGAGTAAGGAGAACCCTGAACAAGGCGTTTCTTCCTCCTTTGAGACCCCGGGACGACACCTCGGGCCCTGGCTTGACGGTTTGCCAATGCTCAGGGTCAGTGGTTCAGGGAGTGTTCTGCTGTTCCTCCTGTGCAGGAAGAGCCAGCTCTGTGCTCTCAGGACACGGATGCGTGTCCTCCTGGGCTTTGAGGCCTTGCTTGTCCCTCGTGACCCAGGGACCCTCCAGGTCTGGTGAACAGTGTGAAAAGTAGGGTCATGTTATGGTCAGCAGACTCCTCTGTCCTGAGATTCCAAACATTTGGATCCACAAACATCAAGGTGACAATACAAAGTCTTTACAACAGATGATGAGCCTCTGTCTTCAGATGCTCCTGCTTTTTATCAGCCGAGGCATGATCGCCGGTGTGTGGGTTAGGAGCTGGGAGCAACTTCCTCTAGTACTTGGCGGAGGGAGTGCTGAACTGCTAGGCTTGCGTCTAGTGAGGCAGAGAGAGGACATGCTGGAAGACTGGATTGATCTCCCGAGGAAGAATTGAGCTTATAAAACCTGTCGTTCAGTTTGTCGTAAAGAGAAGGGAGCAATAGAACTGGGCAGGCTGCTCGACCCAGCTTTCGGTGTGCCCGGGGCTTCTGATCGTCTGTCTCGCCACCTGGGTCGCTGAGTGTGTGATAGAACTGGTGCAGGGGGTGTGGCTCTGACTGGGCCACCTGGAGCCACCAGGATGTCCTTCAGAGAGGGAGGAAGGAGGCACAGAGAGGAGCCAAGCTGTAGTTGGGAGCTGAGATGTGCAGGACCTGGTCAGATACATCTTGAGTCAGCAGCTCTGAAAGGCCAGTCTGTCTGCCTCTCTGCTGTTTTCGGCTCCTGAGCCAGGACAGACACGGAGGCCTCCCCGGCTGAACTTCTCCCCGACTCCTAAGCCAGCCTTGCCCCCCCCACCCCCCCAGTTGGAGTCATCCTTGAGTCCTCTCTCTCACTCTCCCTCACAGCGTCCATAGAAACTGTCCAAATATTCCTGCCAATTCAACCTCCAAAATACATCTCAAATCCTTTCACATCTCGGTTGTCACCACTGTGATCCGGGCCACTGCTGGTCTTCAGTGACGGCTTCCTACACTCACCTGCCTGTTTCTACTCCTGTCCCTCTCTAATCCACCGCCTCACGCTTGCGAGAGTCTGAAAATAAATTAAGTGGCAAGTGGCACTGTTCTATTTATATGCTTCACCGACTTTTGAATGTACTTTGAGGAAAGTGAAAACTTCTTACTGCAGCCCTGCACGACCTAACTCCAGTTTATCACTCCAACTTGATCTCCGGTGACTCTTCTTGTCTTTCAAGCGCCTTAAACGTCAAGTTTTTGTGTCTTGGGTCTTTACATAGACTGCTCCTGTGTTCTTGTGGCTAGTTCATGTGCAAGTCTTGGTTTAAATGTTCTCCTTCAATGAGGACTCCGTTGGCCACATTATTGACTTAACACCTGCTTCCTAATATTTTCCCTGTGTTTCGATTACCACCCCTAGCACAGCATGTGATCGTACTTTTTGCTTACGGATGGTCTCCTCTGCTGTATTCTAAGCCCCATGGGTACAGAAACCACACTGCTCTGTTTCACCATATATACCTCTGTGAACAACGCATTTGGTTCAGTGGCTGGCTAACACATGTTGATGATTTGCCAGATGACTGAATGGACTAATAATATGGGCCTTTTCGTTGGAAGGGAGAAAATAGGGTTATCAGATTCACGGCACAAATTGCAATTTCTGGTGATTCACAGTCTGGTACGTAACACATTGGATAAGGCCATTGAGTGGGAATGCCTCCTGGCAGCATTGGCCACTTGGAGAACTGAAGAAGCCAGAAGCTGGGGATCCAAGGTGGCGTTTTAGTGCTTGTTGTGGAGAATGCAGCGAGGCTTGGCATCACTCTTCGGTAATGTTCATATTCACCTGAGGCCTTGGCTTTTCAGAGGAGAAGCAAGATCCTGCTACAGCCTTTCTAAACAACATACAGAGAGCATATCAGTGCCTTTTAAATCCAACCCAACAATCTCTGCCTTTTGTTTAGGATGTTGAGACCATTTATATTTAATGTGATGATGGATGTGACTGTGTTTTAATCTATTATCTAAGTATTTGTGGTTTCTTCATCACATCTGTGCTTGGTTCTTTTTCTCTTTTTATGCCTTATTTTTGAGTAATTGGATATTTTTTATGATTCAGTTTTATGTCATTTGTTGGCTTATTAATGATAACATTGATTTATAACATCTATTGACTCTTAGTGGTTGCTTTAGGACTTATAGGATACATGTTTAACTTGTCGCAATCTATCTTCAAGTGACATCATACCATTTCATTAAAATATAAGAACCTTACAGCAGTATATTTCAGTCTCCTCTCTTGTTCTTTGTGGTATTGTTGTCATACATTTTATTTCTATATCTGCTATAATATCCATAATCCATTGTTATTATTTCTGCTGTCAAAAGTCAACTATTTTTTTAAAAAGTATTTTAAAAATAAGAAACTATAGTATTTTATATTTTCTTACCTGTATATCATTTCCAGTGTTCATTAGTCCTTCGATGAGAACAGATTTACATCTGGTATCATTTTCCATGTTAAAGGAATTCCTTTGACATTTCTTGTGAAGTTCTAGTGACAAATTTTTCAACATTTATGTGACTGAATGGTCTTTATTTTGCCTTTGTTTTTGAAAGCTGGGTATAGAATTCTAGGCTGGCAATTTTTTTTTCTTTTACTACTTTAAAGGTGTTGGTCCACTGTCTTCTACCTTGCTTTGTTCCTGAAGAGATGTTCGCTGTCATTCTTTTCATTCCTCTATACATGTGGCATATTTTCATTCCTCTATATATGTGACATTTTAGTCTCTAGTTGATTTTAAGATTTTCTCATGATCACTGGTTGTAGGCACTTTGATTATGATGTACCTTAGTATAGTTTTATTTATTAATATTTGGCTTCCTATAGGTTCTTGGATTTGTGCATTTAAAATCTCCATCAAATTTGGAGATACTCAGCTATTACTTCAAATATTTCTTCTGTCTCCCTTTTTCTTTCTCTTTTCTGGGGACACCAATTATACATATATTAGCTTTTTGAAGTTGTCTTACAGCTCACTGATGTTTTACGTGCTGCTTTATTTTTGGGAGGCTGTTTTTCTCTGTTTCAGTATGCATAGTTTCTATCGCTAAGTCTTAAGTCTTTTTTTTTTTAAATTCTCACCCGAGGACATCTTTGCATTTATCTTCAGATAGAGCAGGAGGGAGAGAAGGGGGAAGAGAGAGAGAGAAATATCTATGTGAGAGAGAGACACTGAGTGGTTCCCACCCGACCCCAACCAGGGCTGGAAACAAACTGCAACAGATATGTGCCCTTAGCAGGAACTGAACCTGAGTCTCTCTGGTCCACGGACCAACACTCTAACCACTGAGCAAACTGGGCAGGACTTAAGTCTTTTCTTCAGTATCTTCTGTTAATTCCATTCTGTTTATCTGTCACCTAAGACATTGATTTTTTTTGTTCCATCTTTGGAGTTCGACTTGGGTCTCTTTTATCTTTCATGTCTTCACTTAACGAGCATATATTTACTTTCTTGAATATATGAAATATAATTATATAATTGTCATATGTCTTTACTATGTTGGGGTCTGTTTCGGTTGATATACAGGGGTGGGCAAAAGTAGGCTTACAGTTGTGAGTAGTACGTGAAACTGAGTTTATTCTTGTATCATTATTTATTAATTATTATATCATTTATTTGTAATGCAACGTAAACCTACTTTTGCCAACCCCTGTACTTTTGTCCTGACGATGGGTCATATTTTCCCGCTTCTTTGCATATCTGGAAATGTATGGATGTCAGACCTTGTGAATTTTACCTTGTACATGTAAAAGATAGGTGGATATCTGTGTTTATCTTCATATAGATAGATATCCAATATCTACAAAAAAGTATATGCATAACTATATACCTATATTGTTAAGCTTTGTGTTCTGTTCTGTGGAAACACTTTAATTCCTTCAAGACTCACTTTTAAGTTCTGTTCTGTGGAACCAGAGAAGCCCTCGCCTAAGGCTCAGTTTCCCTGCACCTGCGCAGTTCTCGGCCGAGGACTCTGCTTACTGCACTACGTAGTACGAGGGTCCTCCACTCTGGCTTGGAGGACTGCAAACTCCTCCGGGTCCTGTGTGAATTCCTGTGATCATCTCGCCCTTCCTCCCACTGGTCCCTGTCCCAGCTGAGGCCCTGTCCTCACACACGGGCGGGCGGGGATCGGCCGAGGCCCTGTCCTCACACACCGACGGGAGGGGATCGGCCGAGGCCCTGTCCTCACACACGGGCGGGTGGGGATCGGCCGAGGCCCTGTCCTCACACACGGACGGGCGGGGACCGGCGGAGGACTTGAGCGGAACGCCCCGGAGCTCCCTGGAGCTGTCTGTGTCTCTCGCTGTGCTCTCTCGATGAAGCTCCCTCCTCTCCGCGGGGTGCCCCTTCCCAGTTCTCCATCCCGGGAACTCGGCTCCTTAGTCTCTCTGAATTCTCATGTCTGTCGTCTCAACTCACCAAGACCAACCCCTTGCCTTGCAACCAGGACACACACCGGGCTGATCGTAGGGCTGAGCTCCTTCGGTTCCCTCTTCTCAGAATTACTGTCCGCCTGCACTGGCCGTGGTCTAACGTCTGAAAATTGTTGTCTCGTTTATTTTGTATAGGTTTTGGTTAAAGCGATAGGGTGACTGGTGGTGTCTGTTATTCCATAGCGGCTGGAAGGGGAAGCACCCACAAACACTTGATAGATGCGTTAGTTCTCCACTGCCCGTGGGGTCAAGCTCAAACTCCCTAGTTTCGCCCGTCGGTCCTTGACACGCTGACTTCAGGACAGTCCCCATCCCCCACTTCATCCGCTCTCAATTCAAAACCATTGGCCACATTTTGACAGGACCCAAACGGTTTCATCCCCGGTGTGTTTATTGCACGTGTGCTTGTCTCTGCCTACGAAGACCTTCCCATGTACCTCCATCTGGCCAAGGTACACCTGTTCTTCAAGACCGGTCAGGTATCGCATCCTCTGTGCAGCTTGGCCAGAGCTCGGTGTTCGTCGCCACTTGTGTGCCGATAGCGTTCAGGACATGCCTCCGTCATGCACTTACGACACTTTTATGGAGAGTCTTTGTTTGACCGCTGCACCTCACTGAGGTCTCCGCAG